TCGATCCGAACTCGAACTCGAACCGGTCCACCCCCCCCGGCTCGATAATTGTGTTGTCGATCCGAACTCGAACTCGAACTGGTCCACCCCCCTCTCGCTCGATCCACGCAATCTCGCGCATCGAACCCGAACTTGAACTCGAACTCGAACGGGATCAGTTAGAACTACCTGGGGCACGGCCTGGTCGAAAACGAATATAGGTCGCCAAAATTTGTATCTGTCGTCGAGAATGAAGGTTGGGGTTGCCGTCGTCGAAAACGAAGGTGGAGGTTGCCACAAACTGTATAACGGTCGTCAACATTCAGTTTGGCATAGGAAGCACCTTCTGGGAGCTGTGGCCTCAGAACTGCCACGCTCCTACACAGGGTGCACGAGAGCGCTTTATTGAGTTCAATGAAATTATGTTTGCTGGCAACGTTGCTTTGGACCTGCTTGGTCATTCCACACTCTGACATTGGTTTGCTGTTTACTCAATTCCCACGATGAGAAGGAAGGCGATAGAACGGCATGGTGAAAGGCCCAAAGACTTGAAGGTGCTTTAACATTGAAGTTTCTCATCTGCAGTGGTGCGACGGCAGCGCGCGCGAGCGGCAAAGGAAAGGGTTTAGGGGAAGTAGCATGAACCACCATGGAACCGAAAAGGAAAGATTGGACAGCGTAAGCAACAGTTCATGGAACAGGTACACAGTGGGGCGTCCCCCACTGCATCAGCACCTGCTGGCATCCTCTTCGTTGGACGGGAAATGCCAGAGGTGTCCCGTCCCCCTGTTTATCAAGTAGCATCCTTTGGAACAGGGGTTGACACACACACACACACACACGCACGCGCGCATGCATTTAAATATGCAAATACATGCAAATTCTGTATATCTAAATACGTAGGTACATAGATACAAGTATATGTACATATAACTGGAATATATGTGGGGAGCTCTGGCGACCTGACTTGGTACAAATGCGCACGGGAAAAACTTTACCAGCGTAGCCTCAGAAGCGGCAACTTTGTAGTGAAAATGCAGTGCGGGATGTGTCCGGATTACGTATGTGATATCGCGTGTAGGTTTGCAGTGTCGCTGGGGAGCGGGATGGTTGGCGGCGTCCACGGGGTTTGGTGTTACGTTGGCACACCGTGCGGCCAAATTACGTTTCTGATGTTGCTGGTGGTGCAGTTAAAGGAGGCAATCAACCTCAACTGGTTGGTGTACATTGTAACCTAATGATAAACATATTTATTTGATTTAGTGTATATTATATAATTAGTCTAATTGTATCAATTTTTTGGGGAAAGCGGTTTGTACTTGATCTGATCCGCCTTCACTTTACTGAAACAACGGATGCCTGTTTTGACAGTAGTTCATTGTTGCATAACTTCGGTTAGTGTGATGTGAGCATTACAGTGTATATACACATATGTATAATTTTGATTTGATTAACACGTGGTGATGGAAGGACCCTTGGCCAATTATCAACCCACAGCAGTCGAAGCACCCAGGCTCACTCCATCGCAGGGCGCAGTCTACAATGCAGCAGTGCAGTTGTGCAAAAAATACGACGCAATGGATGACTTGCTTGAAATAGTCACCATCACTCCTGATGTGGGGCCATGTTCTATTTGCCATGATGCCATGGACGCAACTGGCGCAGTCGTGGTCCAAGTACCCTGCGGCCACCATTTTCATAAATTTTGTGTACGCAAGTGGTTTGTTTCGCAGAGTCATCTTCGCTGCCCCTTGTGTAATCAGGTCTTCGGAACATGGACCTAAGTGGGTTTCTTACCTTTTGGAGTCTGAACGTCAGTCACTCTTCCAACTGTCCAATTGTTTTCTTTGTGCGTTCTTTGAACTGGGGACATGGAAGGCCGTTTCTTGCCACTTGGGCGAGTGTGGATCAAAGCGCCTGGATTGTCGTAGTTTGTACCATCAATGAACTACAGCATGAACATGCCTTTTTTGATTTATTGCCATGTCGCATATGAAAGTGTGTGATACGAGAACCTCGGGCTTTGGTCTCCCTTTTGCAATTTTTTCGAACTTTTGTGCCGCCAAGAGGAATTGGCTGAGAGTGCACGACGGTCCGAATGGATCGAAGGATCCATTATCGACTTCGGATCGGGTCGCACCGTTTTCCCTGGAGAGGTGACACCTGCTTCACTTTCACTGGAGCTTTTCCCACCGCCGGAACTGTCTTGCAGTTGAAGGAATTTGACGTCTCATTGCATGGAGGATCTCCGATTTTAAGCATTTTCGAGGCAGACATGTACTCGATTGTACTCGGATCAAGCATTTTTGCCCCGGCAGGAGACAAATGAACAAACCCATGATCAAACATTTGAAGTTTTGCAATGAGCCCGCTTCTATAGCACAAATAGTTCACACGCATGTTTTTTTATCCCTGTTAAAACTTCCTCTATACGAAATCAGGTGTCATGGCATCACTAATTCAGGTGGGTTTTGTAAATCTGCAAAAAAACAACAATCCCACCCAAATTGAAATTTTGTAGGGAGAAATCTGTGGGATTCTCATTGACAACTGATTCTGTAGCATTGTTTTATCCTTGCAAGCCTATACATTGAGTGCACGTGGAAAAGGATTGTCCAGAGATTTAAAGGTGACTCCAGGGGTTTTGTAGATACCAAGAATGTATGTGCATGTATCGTATCTAAGATGTTGTATTACTTTTCTTGATATTCGCAATGACCACAACTCGTGGCTTCATGATTTTGTAGAAACGCATTGCTCTCTACATTGTAGAGCATGTATCTATTTTGCCTCAGCTCTTGTTTTTTCTTCGCGATGCTTCATGGCCTTCCCACCAGCACCCGATCCATTTTGTAGAGAGGATCTCTTGAGCCTGTCAAGATACATAATTCTGGAATCTTTGGACACGTTGATACTGATCCAGCCGTGCCATTTTGCAGTGGACATGCAGGTACGCCAAAAAACAACTCCCAGCATGACCATGCTGATTTTGACATGGATTGTTTTATCATACCAGGTTGCATTTGTCAACAGCATCTATATTGATAATTTGTTCCTATGATGGAACTTGCGATTTGCATTCTCAATAATACTAAATTCATTCGATGGCGATGGCGTCGTCTATAAATCAACATTGTCCAACAAGAGCCCCCTCCACCTAGTTTGGCCTATCAGGCCTATCGGAAAGACAGCTTTGTTGAACCCAGGTTTGGGATTCAGTGCTTGGAACTATCACGGAGGCCCGGACCACCAATCCACGCCTATTCGGTCAATTGGAGTCTAATGGTTACAGGGAGTTCGTTCCATTATAGTCAAGCAAGTCTTCGTGGTGACCTAGTGGTGGACCAGATGTTGGATGGGTACGGGGCAAACAAATAAATCATGTATGCAAGCATGCAAGCGTTGTCCCATGCGTTGCTTCTGTGATTTTGCCACAGGTGTCCACAGCTGATGAACGCCCAGAGTGGAGTCCTCAACTGGTGCTACCCGAACCTCCGTGCAAAGCGGTAACACATGTGCCGTTTGCAGATCAAGCTGAAGAAACAAACAGGTCATGCAATGTGTAATGACAGTGTAATGCGAACTTGTTCCGACGAGACTCTTCTCGGACTTGTGCATCGAAATGGCTTGCTTGAATTCAACTCCCACTTAGAAGTGCGTTGCATCTCCTACAATGTAAACCACACGCACCAGTCAAGACTAGACTATGAGTTTCTCCACTAGGATGAAGCACGGAACTTGCATGGATTCACTTTTTAAGGACCAGGTATGCAACATGATGTTAAGACCTGACGATTGGATGCTATTGGGATGGAGATTTGACGGAACAAGAACCCAGGCTTCGAAGCATGGCGGCCAGTGCCTTGTGCAAGATCTTGGGGCAGGTGGGAGTGCTCCTGTGCTCCGATTCTTGGAGAATCTGGTAGGGTGGGCAGGATGGGAGCCCTCCAAGAGCAATGCAGGATGGGAGCTACGTTGCTCAGGTTGCTTTGCCAGGGTAGACCAGGGTGGTCAACCCCGTCGAGTTCTTGGTGCCCAAAGACCGGGAAAACATGTAGTTGAGGAGTTGTGGAGGGTACGAGGCACGTGGTCAACCTCACACTACCATTTGGGAAGGCTGTGCCAAGAGGTTACCCCTGACCGAGTGCACGCACTTCCCATGCTTGGAGGCTTTGCGGAAAGGTGCTTTGGCCATGTCAGAGAAGCCAGAGGCAAGCGGCAAGCGGTGCTGAGTTCCGTCCAAATGGTTGTAGCTCGGCCCCGCAACCATCCTTTTCAGACATGAGTGTGTGCAGTACTGAGCATATATACCGTAGTGTACAGTGTTTGGCCAAAGTCCCCGTAGTTTCCAGGGGATACAGCATGCAGATGCGGCACTGGGGTCAGCTTTGACTTGGTCGGCCACTGACCACAGTACTATACTGAATCACAAGTTGCCGCTGTAGTTTACAAAACTGCATCACAACTTGTTCGGGGTTATATATTTAATTATAAGATATGTATATATAAATAGGTATATCCAATGTTTCTTATGTTTTTTGGCACCCAAAGGGGCAACGGATAAACACAGGTTTTGCTGCCAATTGAACCTCAATTAATAGAAGGTTCTTTTGGCAAGTGCGTTCCAACGACGAATGGCTGTCTTTTTAGGGGCCTTTCTGGGGCTCAAAACCGCACTGTTGCAATCCACACCCAAGACTGTTGCTTTGATGCCGCAGGAAGCGCAAGACGAGCTCCTGCGACATTTGGAGGCTCAGAGATGGGGCAAATCTGACTGTACAGACTGTGGATTAAGGCAATCAAATCCTTTGGACAAGTTGGTGTGCTGGTGTTCACTACGTGTATAGGGCATACTATACTTAAACATATAGGCCCTTTACAGGCTGGCGGTCAGACACCTCGAGCTTGTGCAGACGACCATTGTCGTGCATTAACCCTTGGCAAGTCCCAAAACTGCGCTGGAGGATGCACTTTCCTCTATCCCAAAAACTCGTTACCATTGGGAACTGGCGTGGCAGAAGCCGATTGTCAGGTCATTGGTTCTGCAGTTCGTTCTTTCACGGGTTCATGCATTGCAGACACCAGGTGCTAAAGAACATACGTCTATGTCATCCCTAGCCCGCTAACAAGGAAATCATAGAGGGGGCATCAAACATGTACTGTAATTGTCATTTCCCTAGGGGGTCTTTTAAACATAAGTCACCCCGCTGTGACGTCCTTTTAGAGAATATACACTTACATGGCACATTTCCCAGAATGTATGTATTAAGTGGATGTGCCCATTCGCGAGAGATGAATTCAAACTAGACTATCAGCAACCAACTTCAGCGATCCCACCAACCGCGCCGCTCGCACCGCGCTCGACTCCGCGCATCGATCACCACGACCACGACTGCCGGAGGTCCTCTTGCGGAGCCAGCACGACTACACGCGCGCACGGATTTGCGAGGCCGTTCCCGCTTCGCCGGAACGGCGACGGTTCGGGGAACTCGTGGAGTGCATATCGCCTCATCCATTGGTGTCCTGAATGGACCTCATGCTTATGCAATTCAGCGATTGGTGCATGTTTCCAACATGTTCTAGATTGTTTTATGTAATCCTCCTAGAGGTACAGTTTGTGGGGGCAGACTATGAGTCACCAAAAGACCGGGTACATGGTGCATATATGTACATATTGACATCTTGGTACAGATTTGGCCTTCGTTTTGTGCAGAATCATTCAGAGATAATATACTGCAGTCCATGCCAAAGACCCGCCCGGAGTGGTTGCCAAAGCAGTTTGGCCCAGGGCCTCCTGAGCATTCTTCAAACCTCCGGACAAGAACTTCATCCCACCGCCGCTTGGGAAGACTGTGTCATCATTTGTAGGTTCAGAACATTGGTCATCCCATGTGCCTTACTTGCATATGCAGCAGGCTCACCGGCCTCTTTGATCGAGCCTTCAGCTTCACTATTTCCTGCAGTGTGTAGGTGATAATATAAAACATCAATATCATCAATAGTGGCCACAAGCTTCCCCCGCACCTGAGGCATGGAGTACCATGTCTGGTGCTTGGAGGGCTGGTGGTGGTGGGTCTTATGAATGCAGTCGGTGGGGTGTGAGAGGAAAGGTACGCGCATCCGATAAAGGAGCATGAGTTCACATGGGGTCGAGACTGTGAGCAACTGGTAGAGCACTTGGCACCAACATAAATGACAAGACGTTTCTTGAATTCACTGACGGTTGTGGACTTGAGCGGCGTGGTTTGCATCAAACCCTGATGACACTGTTGCAGAATACTTTCTTCACTGCGCGTCATGGGTGTTTCTTTTTTGACAGAACTGCATAGAACCCACTCTCCCATGCTTTGGGATCTATGCTTTACTGTACTGAATTACTATTGTCCTTCTATGTGTTACAATCCTCATTTCTTTGGTCACAGCTTGCATCAGCTGGCTTGAAGTCCAAAGGTTTGGCCTCAGATGCACTGTGCATAGCAGAAGAGTCGCCGGAAAGCATGGTTCCTTCCTGATGTTTTAAAGAACGCCTACTCAGTGACCACATGATCCTGGCGTTTGGGCGTAGTACCTTCAATTTGGTGGTGATTTTGGAATACTGTATTTAGGTGTTTCTACAGGCAAATCAATTGCGCATAGCTTCCCACACCTGCCTTTTTCCGCAGCTGTTAGCTCCGGAGTGCCGGTGTGTCGTCCTGCGGAGGCGTCTTGTTTGTGTGTGTGCTGGTGGAATCGCTAGCTTGGAAGAAGTGGCAACAGAAGAGGCAATAAAAGGAAGAAAAGACTGCTGAGCCTTGTGAACCTGGGGCTCTCTCGGATTTGACGTTAACCGCTTGAAGAAAAAATGCACTCCTGAAACGGAAGATTGACGATGGTAGATGGTTGACCTGGAAGAGGCAAGCCGTCATGGCAGAAGCAGCGCCCATGCAGGTGCAGAATCTTGCGGTGTGGCCCAAATGGAGGATATACGTTGTACCGGGATGTAGCAGGATATGTTTATGGCAGGATATGTGTGTGTGTTTTTTTCTTGGTTGCTTGTGGTGACCTTTTGGCTTTGGCCTTTGCTTCTTGGTGGCTTCTCTGGATTTTGGCGTTAACTGGCTTTACTTTTTGCAGGCTTTTGGCTTCTGGATTCTACACCGCTGGGAACCTCATACCCCTCAACAAAAGGTCCAACCAAACAAGATGCTGTGTAGATACTGTACTTCCCGGCTAAAAGCATTCAATAGGTATTATCCTCTTCAAGTTAATGAGCTGCTTGACCGGGAAAACATGTCCTGCAACTCAATGCAACTGGTGGGTAATGGGATTATCGGATCAATACTTTAGTTAACTTTGCATGTTGCTTATATGAGGCTCTGAGGATTTTGACAGCCCGAGTTTGCACACCCGCTTTGTGATTTCCCAAGCTGCCAGGATATCTCATCAATCAACATCAACCTACCCAGCGCTTCCTGTCGGGTTAGGGTGATCTTTACGTAGTGGTAGGGTTGTGCATTGGGACCTCGACTCGTTGGGAACTTCCGCAGGTGGATGCTGATGAAGGGATGTTGCTCTACGTCTCGCTGCTACGAGAAGTTCTGACCAGCGGCTGGGACTCACGCGAAGTGCCCACCTGGCATTCATGTGAGTCATGTGGCCTTGTTGTCTAAATTATTGTGTGACAATAGTTTTCGATAGTTTTCGACTTAAATTATATAAATCATGTGGTCAGACAGACGTAGACGATTCTAGCTGGGTGATCCGTGTCGACCAGGTGTCATTTACTCTCTCTCTCTCTCCCTCTCTCTGGCGGGCATGACTCATCCCGGAGCCGTCTCACGGAGACGCCCAATGAACTTCCCCTATTTTCCCCTAAAGGCCAGAGACCAAGGAGGCAAAGCAGGACCAACTCAACATGGGAAGGCTTTAGCGGCTAAGAGCAAAAATGCAAACATTTGCCGTAGGACGAGACGAAAAGGACTGTGCAGGCATAAGAAACTGCTGGAATGGGCGAGGTGGAGCGCTACCAGAGGCAGGGCTCCCTCAACTCAGAAGGTGTTCAGGAGTCGAAGGCAACTCAACCAGGCACCATACCCTCCCAAGTACGTCGGTCTTGTGCCAGGTGTTTCCAGTGGCAGTGGTAGAGCGGGCGGACATGTTTGTTTGAAACCCGGACATACTTGTTTATCACAGGTTGCATACTGTTCGCGTTGACGAGCGTGGAAGGATGGGCAGGGGCCACTGAGGTCAAGGGCTGATGGCCACTTGTCCGATTAGAAACGGAAGTGGAGAAGGCAAGACAATCACAGTCGTTCTTCACTCCAGAGAGCGGATTGGGATGCATTGGAAGAGAAGATCAAGTCATGCCTTTGACAATGTGATACATGTATTGGACATATGTATATATATATATATCTGTGTGTGTGTGTCTAGAGTCTATACAAATCTCACCGTCTCAGTCGATGGTCGAATGAACCATGGATGAAGCCACTTGGACAAGAACACTGCCAATTTCATGCAATGCAACCTGATCCAAGGTCCCTGGCAGCACCTTGATGCTGGCAGAGAAGCAGCTTTCGATCTACCATTTGGCCGCCAGGCTACAGGATTTGCGAGATCCTTTGCTGACTTTCTGGCGCACTGGAGAGGAATCCGAGGCCGGGCTCGGCTCGGGGGAACGCGCCAGGAGATGCCGGGAGATCTCAGTCCAGGTTGTTTGTTGCGCTTGGTGTCAGGCCTTGGAAGAGCCCTTTGTCTCAAGTATCAAGAAGGTGAAGCAAGTGTGGCAGCAGGAAGGCCGATGGAATTGCAACCTCAAGGCCAAGAAGGCGGGGCAAGATGCGCAACATTGCAACTTAGATGGTTGCATCTTGATTTAGTTTATATTGTGTTTTTGTCTTTATGTGTTCTTTTTAAATATGCAACGTTTTTCCCACCAGCACACCGACCTTCGAACTAACCTGTGTGCTTTTTTCAGAGTCCAGGTCTTTGGACATCCGCAGGCCGTGAAGATGCTTGGCTGTTCAATAGCAGTTTGCTTGTGTTGAAAGTGATGCTCTATTTTGCTGTAAGATACTATGAGAAGTGATCGCACTTTGATATGTTGATGTTTCTTCCTTCACTGTTTGACGATACACTCTCTCTCTCTCTCTCTATGCGTGCGCACAGAGTTTCAGAAGGCATGGAGATGGATCTTCCTGCAGTATTGCTTGAGTGAGGGCGAACCTACTCTCAATTACAGTAGTGTCACAAGTAGTGTCAGTGAAAGGTTGTCCCACAGAAAGGAGCGGAACGACAAGCTTTGATGGCAAACAGAAGTTTAAGAGCTTCCTGGCGACACACACCACACACACATCCCGAATGTATCAAATGGATGCACCACTCCTAGTTTTTTCCGGCAGTGAAAGGTGTCCAGCCGCAGGAACGCACCGGATTTGCCTCAACTTGCGCGAACATCCTACCTCTGCGGTGGGGGGGCTTTTTGTTGTTGTGACACATTGGATCCACCAATTGGGTCGTCCTTCTTTTCCGCCTCAGGTTTCTCTCCTTGCCCGACTTTCCGAGCTCTGTCTCCAGCTGTTGCGTCTTCCTTCCAAAGCGCCCCTCTGTGGGGGAGGGTGACGCCCTCTGGAGCTTCACCGCAGGCGGCTGCACTCCCTGGGCCGCATTTGGTTGCGCAGCTTTTAATTATGATGTTGAGTATGATAAATGATTATGACTCTGACCACTGTTGTTGACTATATCTTACGTTATGATGATAATAAGATATTAATGATGGCTATCATGATGATTAATTATTGATATTTATATATTTTTGTTTTCATTGTTACTATGGTTATGACTATGATTATGATGATGAATATCATGATCATGTGTTTTGTCACTATGATGATGGTGATGTTGATGTTGAACTGGGGCAGGCTGACTAAGACCTAAGTCCAGTGCTGTCAGTTTAGTTAACGGAACGGCGACACTTGCAAGGCGCAATGTGGCACAGCCTGCAAGTAGACACACGAAAATAGAGGTCCCCGCAGAAACCAGCATTGCTGGTGCATTGCTGTAGCAAAAGTGTACTGAAAGCATCCAAATACGGCCACATGCGCAATGGATCCTGTAGACGTTCTTTGAGGTCATCATTTGGGAATTGTTGCAACATCTCATGCCGGTGGCAGGGAGCGTTCTGACTTCCAACCTGCGCAGATTGGTTGCAGGTTGCGGCAATGATCCCATCGCAGATCTGGAGACCAAAGGGTTCAGCGCTTAGACAAGACTGGATGTGGTTGTGAAACATAGGCTATGAAAGCCTGGTCTTAGTAGACTTCCACGACAGTTTCCACAACTATATATTCTTCATGAAGTCTTCGTGAAACTATTGTGAAACTATATTCTGTAGATTTTGGAACCTCCTCAAGGACTGAACCATGGCATCAACATCCTGTCAGACGACAGGACATGTCTTCGCACCTCTCACATCCTGCAGCCACAGGCTCAAAGATGCTTAAAAAGAGGACCAACTCCACCAATCGCTGATAGGGGAGTACTTTCGCCTGCATGGCGCGCGCATTCAGTGCTTTGACTTGCTTGATCCTCGCAATTTGCTGTTCTCCTTTGCTCTTCGCCGGTTCTCCTTTGCCGGCGACCGACTCCAGACACCTCCGGCACCCGCAGACCGCAGACCGGTCCCGCGTCGGACGTACAGCGAGGCGTACGACGCGTACGACGCGTCGGGAGCTCAGCGTCTGCGTTTGGCTCCCGTGCCTCGGCGTCTTGTGGGTCCTGATGCAACCAGCCCATGCCGTGGATGCGACGCAGCAGAAGCAACAAGCGGCCTCTTTGCTGAAGGCGGCCACAGAAAAGGCCAGCGACCTGAAAGAAGATCGAAGCTTGGTAAATGAAGTGCAACATGGTGCAACATGTTGCATGCCTCACAGTACTACTTCTAGATGCTTCTAGCAGCTAGCATTTTTTAGCCTTGCATTGGTTGCAGTTGCAGACACTCATTTGATCAAGGACACCACTTTCATGCGCCGTCGTATTCTGAATGACGTTTTTTTCGTGGCTCGCTCATGTCGCGTCACGTGAGGACTCTCGCGTCAACTGGCCCGACTGAAAGAGATCGAAGCTGATCCAGACAAGTTCTGGGACGGGCCTGCCTCAGGGCCTGAGCCCGAAGGGAACTCCTCAGCTCAGTCGCGGAGCATGATGAAGGGCATGAAGCGATTTATCCAGAAGCAGCGGGCAGCCGAACAGGCTGCAATGGGCTGAGAGCGATGAAAAGAGAACGCATGGAACCGACTTGCGAGAGCTGGAGAGATGGATTTGGTTGATGTATGTTGACGTGGTGCTTGGTGTAAACAAGGTGAACTTGTGATCCATTTCTAGTCATCATTTTTGGAGCATCAGCAAGGTGTGAATACACAAACTGAGGTTCGGACTTGTCTTGCGCATGGACAAGTTCATGAAAGATGCCATCGTGCTTGTAAGCCCCTCTTTGCAGTGCTTTGGCAGGAGGATCTTTCGTTCTAGGCCTTTCGTCGGGCACTCCCGTTTGCACCACACATGCTGGGTGCCTGGTCAATGTTGATAGAACGTGTTCCCTGGCGGTTGCTTTTCAACCGAATTCCAAAACGTTCACGCAGGTTATAAATTTCACAGTCTGTGCAGTGGCTTGTGAGGATTCCCACAGAAAGGCGGTGTCCCAAAATCAGCCCACCGCAGCCCTGCGAGCGCCCGGTCCACGCATCTCTCTCTCTCTCTCTCTCTCTTTTTGTGTGTTTAATATGTTTGCATAAATGCATACTGTATATATATATATACACATGGATAATCATGGATAACATATAATGAATAATATATATATATCATATACGTATATTGATATCAAATATCAAAACATGTGCTGCTCCTACAACCTGGCCGAGCCCACGGTTTTGATTCAGTGCCACACCCAGCGTTCACACTCCTCAGGCGCAGTTCGGAGGAGCTCTCCAAGCTCATCCTCCGAGAGCCGGACGTGTGGAGGAGGCCGGTGATCAATGTTCCAGGGGTCCAGGCACCCTGAGGTCACATGGATCCATGTGAAGCATGTGCTATTTATTCAGGCCTAGGAGTGGCTGATTTTTGGAGCTCAACGATTCCAGGAGACAATGATGGAACGTGTTAGGCTTTGAGATATGATCATTGATGAGTGCATTGCCATATTTTGCAGGATAAAGGACCATTCACAAAATCATTTATATACTCCGATTGTATGGCGATAAAGGGGCAAATGTATGGAACTGCTGGTGTTTCTTATCACTTGGAACTTGGCTTTGCGATCTCACGCAGCTCCCAGATGTTGTTCAGGCTCCTGAAGACTGAGCCTTGGCTTTGATGGAGCCTGTGGACGTTTTGCATGGCTTTGATGGTGCCTTCTTTGGCTGAGGAGCACGACCTTTTCAACCCTCCCAGCGCTTCATTCGTCAAGCAGGTGCCAAGTCCTGCGAGGTGGATGGCACGTTCAGTGGCGCTCAAAGGGTGTTGGCGCAAAAAGGAGGTCCCCCGAACATGTATTGGTGAGTTGTTTAAACTTATATACATGTTCACCTATTTGAGCTTTATGGTGTCAAACGTTTCAAGTTTCAAAGATGTCCAGAGGCCACGGGACTAACATGACCAGCTGCTCTAAGGAGGCAACTTGTGACTCAGGGCTGTTGGTGAAGCAGAATCCGCAGCGCCCGAGCCTGCACGGCCTCGGCCAAAGCGTTCTCCCACATCGGAACTTCAATCAAGCGCCGTGGTATGGTGTGGGCCGAGCCCAACAGTTGGTTCTTAGAGTTCTTCTGAGCCCAACATACAATGAAACATGAAGGGGAACACATAAAAGCGGACTTGTCCCATGTTTCCTGACCAAGCGTCGGCCCCCGGGGCATGTTTCACGGAAGGTCGCTCAGCCTGAGTCTCGTTTCACCGCAGGTGTTGAGGTCGGCTACAGCCACCGTGACGCCTCAGAAGCCCAGGCGAGAAGTACCAGGGGAGCACAAGAAACAGAACAATCCGAGAACTGTCATATCATCATAAATCATATCTGTCATAGTCACAGGGGGAGGCCTGGAAGTTCTGTACCAGAATGTTTATTGTTGTTTTTCTCGGTGGTTTGTTCAGTTCAGTTCAGAAAATGGAGTATATGGAGCGATGAGTTCTTGGTGGTTGATGCTTTTTGGATCTTTTCGGCGTGGACCGGAGCATCCGAGAAGTATAAATTCAGAGCATCCTAGTACTGTCACTTGTGGATTTTGCTGGACATGTTGCGGACAGTGAAACGAGAATGGCAGACGGGTCTTTGAGCAAGATCATCAAAGAGTATACACTCATCACTCATATATATATATACTTTAAACATGTGTTTCATATTTTGTTAACTTCCATATTATTCACATATTATGAATTATATAAGAGAGGGGAGCGCTGTGAGCGTGTGTACTTTTCTGAAAAATACACACGCTCACAGCGCTCCCCTCTCTGATATGTGTGTGTTTTCTCTCCCAGTTGAACATGCACGGAAAGACAAAGACGACGTCGTGTGAAACATGGTTTTCCTTGACTGCATACCCTACTACACAGGAAAAGACGGGAAAAGACGATCGGCCACTGTCAGGATACCAAGAGCAGTCCGCCAGGACACTTGCTATGTTTCACACACATAGTATATTATGTATTATGTATGTATATCTATGTTGTCATTGACAAAGAGAAGCACATGAAACAAGGAGAGTTCAAAGAAACCGATGACAACAGAACACATAAGCAAAAAACACAAGAAACGTTCTCACTCGTGGCTTCCCCTCAGCCGTTCGGCCCATGACGCGGGGCCCCGGCCCACTTGACCATGGGATCTTTGGAGCTTCTTGGAACGAAGTAGGTGCCATATTTGGCACCCATTCACGATCAGTGACTTACATCTTCAATAGGAACTCTTTCTTTTCCAATTGATTCAGACCAGCATCATGTTAGATTGTTGGGCTTGACTTAACATGCAACAGAAGATAGCAGAAGCAAGTGGGTGGCCAATTCAACCTCCGGGCCCGGAGTGCAACACTACCATTGGACCATTGTTTGTGTATTTCTACTTTACACATACTTTGACGTGCTGCTAAAGTGGTTTTGCAAAAAATGCAACATTCCCAATGACCCAACACGAGATTTGCTACAAGGCATATCGGAGCAACAGGGGAGGAGGAAGTTGTAACCTCAACTGCTTCCAACAGCTCAGGTTTGGATGCTGTGGAGCCAGGACATGCTTTAAAAAAAATTGTAAGGGGGCAGGGAATGGATGGGAATGGTAAGAGGTTTAACGCAGCATGGACCACGTGTTGGTTCAACCCGATGTTCAATTCTACAGGGTGGGGCCCGCGCTTTGGACTTTTGGCCATGACTTATGGAAACATGGACCCCATGGTATGGCGGATGGTGCCATGTGTCTTTGGACGTGCCATTTTTATACATAGACAAGCTCTGGTTGGTCCGGCACATGTTCTGCTTTTCTTGACACTTCATGACTTCACACTTTGATCATTTTGGGGAGGATTGTTGGAGATCAACTGTGGGCTGTGCGAGGAGGAAGCATGTGAAGTCGAGATTCAGTGGTCATGGACATCTCGATACATCAGTGGGCCAATTTCGTGAACGTGTGGCAGCGTGGCGATGTTTGAGCTTCAGAGTTTGAAGGTTGAAGCTGTTAAAAGACATGGATGTGAATTTGTGTTGTTTTTTCTTCATGGCATTATCTTAGACATTGTCATTGCCGCTGCAACAGTCCGAACATTCTTTTGTTTTGCGACTAAACTTCCAGCAAAAAGAGCACCAGAAATCTAAAACCAAAATCAGGCCACTTCAACTAGATGTGATGTTCAATTGGGATTTGAAGTTTGAAGGTTGAACTGTTTGTCATCTCATCTCACTTAGTGCTTCGGGGCAATGTCCAAGTTTTGTTATGTTTGCTTTCTTTCCCACCTGCCAAATGAGGGTTGTTACAGTAGATTTTATCACAGCTGTCAACTCCTCCGCCTCCTCCTCCTCCCTTTGCTGCGAACTTTCGGGTGCAGCCAGCACCACCAAACCTGAACCAGAAAGAATATGAAATAATGCCAGAAGAAATGTCAGCAACTAGGTCAGGTATAATGCAACAAATGCAAAATGACGATGCCAGAATATATACGCCAAATAGAATGTCAGAAAATGCTAGAAAGAATGTCAGAAAAATATGCCAGGTAGAGTGCCAGAATATAGTCCAGATAGAATGCTAGATTTTTTGCAAGATAGCAGCTAGAATGCCAGATTAGAATGCGAGATAAAATGTCAGAATAGATTCCAGAAAGAAAAGCAGAACATATGCCAGATAAGGGGCAAAATAGAATGCCAGATAGAATGCCATAATGTGTGCCAGATAGAATTCCCGAATAGATGTCAGATAGGGTTCTAGTATATATGCAAGATAAGGTGTTACAGATTTCCTGGAATCCTGGAAGGCACACTGTGGAGAAAAGAAATACATTCCACACGAGACACGTGGACTGACTGAGGCAATGATTCTGGGTATGAACCCCAGAACATTGCGTGAGAGCCTCTACTGGAACCTGTTTATGTGGCCAAAGAAGCATCACTGGGCATTGGTGGCACAACCCACTGCAGAGTTCCAAGCCCGAATTGCCGCTCGATTGTGCCAAATCGGTTTCTCACCACTTGTGCCACCTATTGGGTCAAGACGTGTCAAGAGTCAAGACCTTCCCAAGAGCATAGAATTTGAACGTCGTGTCGAAGAGGTGCCTTTTCAGACAAGGACCCTTGCCAACTGATTCTTGATGCATACGCGGCCAAGAGTTGCCTTGGAGAATGGACACGATTTGGTGGGGCATACCCAAAAGGGGTACACAGTACACCCTTGGTATTACCCTTTGGTACATTTCAGTGCTGTCTACGTAAGCCCAGCAGATGGCTCAAAACATAGTTGCTTCCAAAGCAGCCCTAAACTACTTGTAGATCTCCGGATGTGCTAGCCATATGGACTTGTTTCCCCAATAGCGATATAGCTATGGGGTCTTACGGCGCTGTTGCCGGTGCTGTGATCTGGTTCGGTGCTGGTGCTGCTGCCGGTGCTGGGTGCGGGTGCCGGTGCAAACCAGTGCATGTGTTTGTTTTGTTTTTGCGAATTTGCAATTTCTTTTTTTCAGTTGTTTCTGTTTTGGTAATTAATTAGTTGCTATTTGGGGTCTATGCCTGTGTACTGTAAGGTTTCCTGAACTCAGGCAGGGGGCCATGACCCTCCAGAAGCGTCAGAGCCGCTGTCAGGTGGACGACTTCGCATATTCCGCTGTGCAGTGTTTCAACGCAGAAGTGTCTTCCAAGGAGTTCTTCCTCATTCTGGAGTTGCTGTCGGAAGGAGAGGGAAATGCATCAAACCATCCAAGTCCCAGTTTAAGTGGGCAAGTGGGTTTTGAGGAAGACCAATTTCCAAACCAGCCTGGAGATTAGTGGTGTGTATTTGTGTAACACTCGAAGCACGAGTTGTCAGCTTTGTCATCCAAACTTGGGTTTGCAGATGCAGGATCTGCACCCTTTCCGCTTTTTTCGCTCCTCAGGAGGTTTCTATTTCCCCATGCTGAGCGTGAAGACCGACTTCGTGAGCGACCGGCCGAATGTTCAGCCGCTGGGCTTGGTGGGTCCCATCACCTTGCAGCAGATCGAACGAGAGGTGCTTCAGGTGCGAACGGGTCGTGAAGGAGGACCCGTTTGGCCGTCGGTTGGATCGGTCACCGTTTGGGCCATGTGGGGTCCATCAGGGCACGGCCACGAGCTCCGGAAACGTGTCCGGCATGCGCAGTTGCTCGAAGTGACTTATGCTGAGAACAATAATTGAAATATATATATATAGTGAAGATATATATATATATATATTATCCCTATGACTATGATGGTCCTTTCCATAGTCCAAGGTGAAGGACCTAATGGATACATTGAAAGTACATGAAAGAAGGCTATCATTGGGAGAGTGTTTTTCAGTGCGGTGTTTGAAGGTTCTGGGCTGCTACAAGAGCTACAGTCTCATCGGTGACTTGGCCAGGATTGAGTGGAATTTCGGAGGGCAACTTGCTGTGGAGTGTTGTGTCAATCCATTTCTTCAAGGCAGCAGTACTCAGCTACCAGTAGCAAGGATGCTATGGTCGGTGGAGGCCATCGCAAGTAGGTTGGAGGCCATTCCTACTAGGACCAAGAAGCTCGATGGAGAACTCCAAGAGTCTCGAAAGTCCTCCAACATCCTCCAGAGTCAGGAGCCCCTAGTGGCGTCCTTGCTCCATCTTGCTCCTAGTAGCGATGCCAGGAGCCCCTAGTAGCTTCTTGCGCCTAGTCCTAGTAGTAAGGCCAGGAGCCCCTAGTAGCGTCCTTCTATCATCATCTGTCCAATTCCACCCCAAAGGCTGCAACTGTCAACACTTTGCGGCGGATTTGGCCTTGGCCCTGGGCGCCGCTCGCCGCCCCGACCCCGTCGACGAACGCTTGGCGAAGTCCGCTGCCAGTGGTGCCAACACGCTCGGGGCCGCCGGCGTCTCTGTGGCCGCCTGCGCAGCAGCAGGCGTTGTGTGATGTGTGTGTGTGGGGGGTGTACCAGCCAGCTTGCCACGCAGTTAAACACATAAACTTGTCGTAATCCACTTGCTGGCTTGGAAAGCATGACTTTTGTAGCCCCAAATTCTCTTCCCCAAATCGCCCCAATCATGTCCGTTCGCCTCAACACTGCGCGCGCCAATTCTCGTATCATGCCTCGCTCAAGCTACAAGCCTCGAGGTGCCGCCGGCACCTCGGTGCTGGGCTTATGCAGCTCTGGTGCCTCCGCTGCCCTGGGCGCCTCGGCGGTGCTGGGCACCGTGGCGGCCAGCGCCTCCATGGTCAGCGTGGCGGGGGGCGCCCAGAGCCGAGCGAAGAACCCGGTCGTGAGGGGTGTTGAAGCTTGAGGGATTGGACCTGTTGGTGACAAGGGGTTGAAGTTGAAGGGTGCAAAGATGTGCAAAGGTCCATGATGGAGCCGGCAGTGGGATAAATTTCATTAGGTTTCCGTGGTTTCCATTTTATTTCGATGGCCCTTCGGCCCACTGTGCCCCATGGCTGCCAAGCAGGTCCACTAGACTCAGGAAAATATAGAACAAGACATTGGCTTCTAGTGAATGCAGTTGCGTGATGTTGCGTTTACTAAGTCAACGTAAGAACTCACCACAAACCAGGAGTGATTTTCCCTTGGAATCCAGGGCGACGGAACGGCGACAGAACAGTGAACGGTGAAAAGCCTTTCCTGTCTATCCATTGGCCGTGTGTGGTTGTGCGACAATGGGTGTTCACAAGGCTGAGTGAGGAAAGAAGCGTACACACAATTCAATAAGGAATTTTGTAGTGTAGGATCCTGATTAGTGAAGGGGATCCCCCTCCCTCTAGCAAATGGAAGGTCCCCTCTCTCTCTCTCTATTTATATAAAACTACCACCAAAACAAACCTGGGTTCCTGGGAGGATTCCTTTTGTAATTGATTGTAGTATTCATTTTCTTTTCTCTGGTTCTTTGTATTTATATGTATTTATATAATACTGTAATAGATATTATCAGCAATCCTTTCATACTACTAAGAGGACAAAGACGGTTCTTTGAAGAATATATAACTAGCAAATTCTCTCAGCAAGCCAGCCATTGGCTAAGTAGTATTAAGAATTGCCATCATTATCATTTCTATTGAGAAAAATCCACAATTGAGGATCCTGAAATCAATGTTTAATTCAGAATCAGGGGCCTTCCTGGTCTTCTACCTTGAACATCGAATCTGTTTAGGAGCAATGTTTACGTAAAGGATTGATTAAGGAATTGATGGCTCTGGGAAGCTGTCAGTTTTGAAGAAGAACTAGAGAAGCCTACTAATCAATGCTCGCAGCAAGCCAACCATTGGCTTAATAGTATTGACAGATCTCCGAATGATTTGAAACCCGGGCCTCATCATTTTTCAGGTAATCAAACATTTAGGATAAAACAATTTAGCACGATAGAGCACCCTTTAAAAAAGACAGCAAACTGGTGTTCAGAACAATGAAAAATTAGCATTATAGTGATTATATATAGAGGAACCCTTTACTAATCAGGATCCAACATTAGCTTTGTGAGTGGGCTTTTTGGCGTGATTTTATACCGGTTTGTGCATCCGCTGTCGCTCGCCTGGGTGTTAGGCGGGTATCGTTGACACTCTTGCGAACTGTGGAGTGTGGTTTCTGCATAAGACGGCTGTCGCACAATGAAGAGGCCACAGTGATCCGCTTGGTGGTTTGAACGAAAACCACGAGGCTTCCGTAAGAATCAATGTGAAAGAAGAGGAGGGTATTCATGCCTGTCCTGCCTGTCGGGTAGCTGCTACTCGTCTCAGGTCGGTGGCTTGACGTTGATGGGGGTGGCGCATGCATATGAGGCGTGTGCACATGCTGAGTGTGTAGTCTTTAATTCGAAACGGACATGGTTATGGAGAACGATACAAGCCATGCAGGTAGCAGCATCCTCCAAATCAACCTAGAACTTAGAACGCACCTAAAGCGACTAAATGAACCTAGTCTGAGGCTTAATAAGAAATGGTGAAATGGATCTTTAGCAGCAATCTCTGTTGATGGATCTTTAGCCCACATTTTCTGAAATTAATTTCTCTTCAAATCAAGTCACACACAAATCCCAGTGCGGCACCTGATGTTGCTTGAGGCAGTCCGCGACTCAACCCGTGAAAGCTGCACCGAGGAGACTGAAGATCCCAGCTGCACCAGTCAATGGGTCTTTAGATGTCCACTAGCTGTTCTAGCTTCATACAGAGACATAGGATGTTTCCTGTAAGTTGACTCATTGTTCTTAATGTTTGGGAACTGGCATAACCCGAGTATGTATAGTTTCCAGATGTTTCAAGGGGTGCAAAATCAACACAGTTTTGCATCAAACCTTTTTGAATGCTTTTTACTCTGGCTGTTTGCTGGGTTGCCGCTGAAAGAAAGGGGCATAGGGGAGCTCATCCCAAACAATCCCGGGCCGCACACAGATTTGCTAAGCCTGCAGTCGGTACCCATATTTCAATTTCTACAGCGCTCTAGGCTCTAGATGCATAATTGGTTGATGTTGGTTGGCTTTGGTCTCTCTGGGCTGAGGACGTGGCGGCTTACTCCGAGGACTCCACAAGCCCATCCAGCGGGCCCGCGCCCCACAGCGTAGAATGAAGCTCCAGCGCGGAGCAGAAGGGCTACAACGGCCCACCTAATTCGGAGCGCCCAGCCTTTGCAGCGGGCATTTTTCATATGCAAAACCCAGTAGATCCGAGACACAAGTTTGGAACCTAAGATTGGCAATGTAATCAAAGAACTTATGTGACTAGATACGTTATAGTAGCTCGTGTCACTGGGCGGCCTTGAATCAAGTCCTTTGGATGGCCATGTGCATAGCATTGCCTGGTCCTGGCCAAAGCCCATTTACATGCGCGTGGATAGCTGACGTATGTTGGTGTGAACATGGCAAGTTTGCCTGGATAGCTGACGGATGATGTCAGAACCTAGAGACGAAGCTCAGTGAGTTCTTTGACCAGTTAGACTCATCACGCGCTATTTGTGCGCATCATATGGTTTTGCCGCAGGATTCCAGAGGTCTCCATCAAAGTATTGGTGCAGAATGTATTCAGTAGTTGAATCTTAATATATCTTAATATTATCTCCCTTAAACACCGCAACTAACTACCAATATGGTTGATTTGTGGTGAGTTGTTTTTTTTTGAAAAATTAGGTTCCCCAAAAGATATTTTTTCGCAAAATCGACCATGTTGCTGACCCTGGTTGCTGACCCATTAAAAACATTAGCTGGATGGTGACTGGTTTCCTTTATTAGGTGGTACTTGCCTTGCTTTCTATACCTTTCTTTTGCTTGTCAACTATCGAATTAATTATGTGTTTGCTTTATTGATTGGGAACAAGGGAAAGGCCAACTTGTGTATGTTGCAGACTTGTGTCATTCTTTGTGTTTTACAGAGATGAGATGAGATTGTATAAGGAATTTATCAAGCCAGAGTCTTCAATCCAGGCACTTTCCACACACAGCTGTGCCCACCCACTCCTTTGTTAAATTAGGTGGTACCAGTTGTTTGATCAATTAATGGATTAATATATGTCCTTTTTGGGCGGAACCGAGGATATTAATCCCTTCCACCGATCTAAAAAGAATGCCCTCCATATTTAAAAGAACGTGGGTACGGGGTCCATTACTAATGCATGGGGGGTGTCCAAAATAGGGTCAGTGAGAAGTGAGAGGATCCTCCGCATGACTTCAGGGTTTTCATGGCCCACCGGGCACCACGGCAGCGCAGCGTGGAGTCCGACTCGTTGTCATGAGTCTTCCCGGCTTGCACTCTTGGAAGCCTCTCTAGGCGATTCCAAGGTCGAACGTGTGACTCAGCACACATGGTTGGATAGGGGCATTTGGCATCGAATCCATCTTCCCATAGGATGAGAGGATTCTAGGAATACATTAGCAAAGCAAATATAAGCGCATTTTGAGGCAGTTCAGTTCTCAAGTGCCAGGTGCCATGTTCAAGTTTTTGATGGTTCGACCTATTTGGCGACGCTCGCTTGCTCTCGAGCATCGATTCAACATTTAGGAGCCTCGCTGCTTTAGTTTGTTTAGCTCTTCCACGGACTTGGATTCAAGCCGGTCTTTCAGGTTTGCTGAGTTGGGTGCTTCCAAACCAGTCAACCTGGGTACATGACTTCAGACGCCAGAGCAATTGATATTTGCAGAGACTGGCTCACCCACCACCATTTCTTTTCAACCTAAGTTGTTGTCTCTTGATTGGAGTGCAGCTGGCAGCATCCCTGAAGAACGGCAGAAGCACGGCGTGGCCGAATCTTCCCAAACGCTAGAGGCTCTGACTCAGGGTCATGTGCGTTGGCAATGAGTTTATCTCCAAAAGCTACCAGGCTTCGACCAGGTGAGGCCGACCTCGGTGGCGAGACTTTAAAGGCATTTCTCCGATGCGGGCTGCGGCTCCAACGGAAGAGGTCGCCGAGAAAAGGTCGCCCACCGCTGACGGAGCGACCGAGCGCGGTTCCAAGACACGGACGGTTCCGAGACCCGACCGGAACCGAGACCGTGGCGGTGTCCCACGTTGCAGGCCTGCAGGACCAGAAGATCACACGCCGGAGAAGGAGATGGACAAGTCCAAGGCAAAGAATGAGGCACCCAGTATCCTGTGCAAACTGTGCCTTAAAATCCGGACGGATCCACGGTGTTCACCTGTGCTCACCTGCTGATGAGCAGCATGGTACTGCCTTGTGCTGCCTCCAACCAGGGCCAGCGGAAGCACACTTCAACCATGTTCAACCTTGAAAGATATTTAGATTAACCCCAAACCTCAAATTATTCAATTGCAATTCTTCAGCATCCGAGAAGTGCCATCCCAACATGTCCCCACTTCCTTGGCCCAACATCCAAGCGCACCGCGCACCTTACTCAGTGCCAGGATCCGGGACCGAAAGCCTACGCGAAGCTGTTGGAAGCGATGCTGCAGGAGTTGGACTTCTTTGCGGAGCCGTTACTTGAAGTGCAAAGCTGACAGAGGCTGCCCATGGCTTCCTCTGTAAGTCTGTTTGATATGGCAGATGTTGATACATGTTGATACTGATATGGGCAGATGAGGCTGATATGAGAGGGAATGATTGGAGATATTTAGGAACAACGCCGGAAAGATCGTGGGGATGGACATGAGAGACTCATCAACGTCCCTGACGCGTGGACTCCACTGCTCCACTGTGCGATGTGCCAGTCAGGACATATCATCTTGCCACGGGTCAGGCTGTTCATATTCGCTAGCATCAAATTGTTAGCAACTGAGGACGAGTTCAAGAAGAAGGATTCTTCCAGTCAACATGAAGCGGTCCAACCATTCCAAATCTTTTGTTACTGGGTGAACGCGTGTAAACAGTATAGAAGTATATAATGTATTGCGTTTGTAACACTAGCAGTTATATATATATATACTAATCACTAATCTATACTTACAGTAGTAGGCCTGTTGTTTATTGCTTTTTGGTCGTCCTCCACCCACATCTAGCAGCTGCTGGCACTACCAGACTCCCCCGGCACCCTTGTCAACTTGAGGTTTCAAGGACTTCGCTGGCTCGAAAACAAGAAACAGCTCCTGGTTTACCACTACGCAGCACGCATGAATGAACAGAAGGATGCGATTCTCCAAATGATCCAAGGAGTTGAGGCTTCTTTGGGCCAAGGGGCTGAGCAGGGCTCCGGTGGTTGTGTGACCTAGACCTAGGCCGAGCCGCATGAAATAACGCATAACACCAAATGATGCTTTTGTGGCCCGCAGATTCTGCCCCTAAAGCCGAAGGGCTCATTTTTTGGTGGCCACGTATGGGCCACCCTGACTTTGGAAGCCACACCGGTCGCGTTTCGGCCACACCGGTCTGACAGCAAAAGATGTCCGCGAGTGCCTCTTTTTCTGGGGGGGACTGCTCGGGGGAGTCTTGTTTTTAAAGAAGCGACCGGTGGGTCAGATGTACACGATTCAAGGCTTATGCCAGGTAGAAGACCGCAACGTGTGGGCACAGAGGTGTGGCACACCCCTTCGTGCGAAAGAACTGGGTGGAGCGGGGCACCTCGAGTTATTTGTCGGACAACTTGCTCATGGCCCCGATGTCCTCCAAGCTCGGCCACGGCACACCACGAACGAGCTGTGGCACATTCGGAGAATGAGATCAACACTGGCCCCAGGTAATTAAAAAGGAATGAGCAATAAAGACAAAATTATACTATATGATATAGTTTATTGTTATTTGATGTTATTTGTTTCGCATCCGTTCATGTATATAGATCACTCAGCTTTTGTACCTTCAGTTCATTCAAGCTGCTTAAGGCTTAAGGTGCATACTTTCTTGCTAGGCAGAAGACCGCCTGGAGCCAGTGTATGCAAGGGCAGTGAAGGCGGTGAAGGAAGAGCTCATGGGACTCTTCAGTGCCTCGACGGGCATGGCAGGGCCTCTTTCAAAAGGAGGGTTACTTTTAACGGGGTGGGAAGCTTCACAGTTTCATACACTGTAAAGATCATGCAACTCTTAATTAATATGTTTGATGACACTTTTTTTAGAGATACTGATACTAGTTTCTATAGTAGTATTTTATATATTATAGAGACATGTCGAGAGACTGAGAGATGCATGAGAAGAACCACCTGAAAGTTGATGCAGCCACCGTGTCACATCACTCGACTCCGGATTCCGAACATGACAAGACTCTGAAAGTAATATATTCCAAGCTTTTGGGTTTGATCCTGTAGGGCGCTGCATTAAACAGCTTTTAACTCCTTTTGAACCACCTGCTGGATATTATTGCTGGATCTAGAACCTCTACATTATGCAGAGTCCCCCGCCGGGTTTCCGATGAAGACATCACTCGCGAAACGAGGTGAAGGTCACAAGTTCAAGAAGATGTTCAGCTCTTGGGACGCACGTTGAGATGTTTGAGAAGATCGCAGCCAGAGGGTCGCTGCATGTCTTCTGTGTGTTGTTTTGTGTGGGACATGTCCAAGAATTTGGTCCCTTACAGACCCTCGAGGGATTCTTCTCAATATGGCAAGTCTTCACGAAAGAAGAGGGCTTCCTTCTATTTGATGATCTGGACGTTACCGTGAGCTCAGTCCAGGCTTGACCCTTTTGTGTCCTCCATTTTGGTCAGGTCACGACCACGTGATCCGCTTCCACACCCTCAAGGGGCTCCCAGTGCCACGCGAGAACTGCGTCTTCCTACGGGAGCGGCCGCAATGCACCGGCGACGTCTTGAGGAAGACACCCTCAATCTTTCGAGACCTCATCCGATCTTTGGCGAGAGAATAGCATGTTCGGTCGGAACCTCAAACTTGGGGTGATCAAATGGACTGCCTCCTCAAACTCCCCCTTGTCAAATCATGAAACTGCTTGCCACTCCCTGCACTATGAAGCATGGAAATTCACGGCCATCGTTCAACCTTGGACGGGGGGGAGCGGGAAACTTTTATTCTTTTGTTGGTGCTTAGTCCGTCGACACCTCGCAGATCCTGACGGTCAATCGTTTATTGATGCTTAATGCTTAGCTTGTTTGAGCCAAGACAGTATCGAGTTGAGGATATCGCGGTCAGACGAGCCCCTTGATGGAGCTTGAGCACCACCACTTGGCCCTGGTATTCACTGCAGGGGTCTGAGAAGTGGTGAACATGAGCAGAGATCTAGCGGAGTCATGCTAGCCATGTGGAGTTCTTTCCTTCTAGATCTTCTAGCATAGGTCTTTATGTTCTGAATCCCACTGTTTCAAGTGGGTATGGACCGTTATGGACATTTTGCATGATTGATTGGTATGTTCTTTGGAGAGCAAGATGGTTTCATTGCGGTGATGGGGTGAAATCGCCATTCTCCAGCTCAAGCTGCTCATGGAGTGGCTAGTGCAGCTGACGGAGCCCACCTGGGTGAAATGTGCTCCACAAGACGAGGCTCAGGACATCCTTCAGCTGCCAGAGTCCATCGTCCTGGTCGAACCGCCTAGCTACCAGCCGCTCGCAGTGCCCAACGGCTGGTGCCGCGTGGTGGAGAGCTGCGACCCGAGCAGTGCCCCCAGCGGACCCTCCGAGAGATGGCTCTTCTTGGACGGGGCCCGTGCCCGATCAGTGGGACGCTTCTCCGAGGACGACTTCGCGATTTGTGCGGATGTGGTATGGCCGGAAATGGAAGAAGCTGAAGAGCGATCGCCCTTGCTGCCATTGGAAGTGAAGGCACAGGATCCTGAAAATGTCCTGGAAATGCTGTCGAACAAGATCACGGATGAGATGCTGATCAAGCTACAAGAAGATGGCTTTGTGATAGTTGATGAAGCTTTGCCAGCTGCAGTTTGCGAGATACTGAGGCATGAGATGGATACCTTACTGGAGAATGACCAAATGTGGAACCCCAGAAGTGCATGCCGAGTAACTATTATTATCTATTATTGTTTAATATTATTTTGAGTTGGTTTTATACAATTAATTGTGGTGTCAGCTAAGCTATGCCAAACGTTTGTGTAACATGGTGGAGAGTTTGTGGTTGCTTCTGGTGCTCAGTGTGCTTAGGAATAGTGAGTCCTATTCTCATGATGAAGGCGCGCTACATCATGACATTTGGGAGACCAGCTTGGACTATAGGGATGTTCGTCGTCACGCTCCAAGCTTCAACCGCATGGAGACAGACGAAGGTGCGGAGATATGCGGATGGAAGGTGTTTGCCACTGTGTGGTGTCCCATCTTCTCGACGGTGGTTGGTTTGACTGAATTGTGGTTGGTTTGAATGAATGTGGAGAATGATGGAGATAGGAGGTGGGTTGACACGCTGTATGCAACCATGTTGTTGCAACCTGCACTAGGGTTCATTGCTCAAGAGGTGTGTGGGCTTTGTTCAGTCGGCACACCTGTCCTAGGACTCCTGAGGGTCCTGAGACGGCTGCCAGCACTCAGAGATCTCTCGATGCATCACTTGCGACTGCAAGTGAACAAAGGCAACGGTGGCTGCTACACCATGCACACGGACTCAGGAGTTTCAGGTGTGGACTCGGCCAAACGTCACACGTTTCTTTTTTTTTCCTGACAGTGGTAGATAGAGATTTGGCACACTGAGGCGGGGGTGTGCCCGCTCACCGGAATGTGTTGACGAAACCACGAATTGAGGGAGGCTTTGAGGGTTGGGAAGGGACGGGCACAAGGTATTTGATCAAGTACGACCTTGCTAGCCACCCTAAAGAAACAGGCGGTGCAGATGGAATGCAAGTCTTGCGTGCTACAGCTCTTTTCTACCTGAATGAAGGTTGGAGAGAAGAGCACGGTGGTGAGCTTCGGATCTTCCCCTATCCTTTGCCACCTCTGAAGATTGCACCAACACTCGGACGTTTGGTGCTATTCCATCCGCGATTGGTGCATGAGGTTCTTCCCAACTACCACAAGAGGTATTGCTTCACTCTTTGGTGCGCGGCGCCTCGGAAGGCATGCCACACATGTGGGTCACTCTCTCATGTCACGCTGGTGTTCACGACCCGGATCTCTGGGTCGTCTCGTCGAACGCCCAAGGTGAATGGAAGCCCCGAAAGCACCCACTCGAGCGGGGCCTTCTTGGAGGATTTGGAATCCATGACCGACTTCCACCGTGCCTGTGCTGCCTGTGAAGCCTGGCGTGACTGGCGACTCGGACGTGTGGCGGTTGACGCTTTAGTGCTCTCACGTTGTGACAAGTATTCTTGTGCACTTCTTTGTGTGCAGGAGAACTGGCAGCTTTGGGGTGGTAGTGGTGTGATAGCTGTGCCCACGCGGGTGCATTTGGCTGGCACAGCCGAAGGCATCGAAGACAAGTCATCGCACCTGGATGAAACCCTCAATTTTTGCTCACTGGTCTAGTCAGAGCTGGAGCCAGGTTAATGGAAGAACGGAAGAACTCCGAAAACCCAACTCGCATGCAGCATCCAACTCCTGTAATTAATCCCTTCCACCCCCCTATTAAAAAAACCTCGGTCGCATTTTTGTTGTTAGGGGGTCCCTGAAATCAGGGTGGGAGGCAGGAGGCGCATGTATATAAATATAGTATATTGTAGTTAAATCTCGGCATGTTTGTAGGATTGGGGCAAGAGGATATCAACCTGCCCAGTGCCAGACAGACAGCCAGAGAGTCCGCCAGACAGCAGGAACGAGAGGGAGGCAGGCAGCTGAGGGTTGGAGAGCCAGGGTCTTGACGACGTCGACGACGACCACGACCACGACCACTACTACTACGACGACGACGACTACTACTACTACTACTCCTACTGCTACTGCTACTGCTACTGCTACCACTACTACTGCTACTAGGCCAAGAGTGAATTTTTTGGAACCTAATAAAGAGACTCCACCAAAATCGGCCACGTTGGTAGTTTAGTAGTGGCTTTTAAGGGCGGTAACTTAAACATTATAATATAGACCGTGTTCCGGCATGACTGTTTTAAATGGGGAGCGTTTTTAAATAGGTATATAATCGGGATTAATCGTGAAACTGTCACTAATCGTGAAGCGGCAGGGGTGAATCCCTCAAAACCACTGTATTAAGATTTTACTTGATCCTTGTATATATGGTAGTTTTAGTCCTCCTTATGTTTTGCTCATGCGGGGAGTAGTTTCTTTCATCCCTTTTCTGCCCACCTCATCCCAGGTCAGGCCATCCTTCCAGGGCCGCTCGTGTCCCCAGACCCTTGCGCTGCCTCTTCATGGCAGCCGCTTGGAGTAAAGATGGCTGCGGTGACCGCGTGCTTGAGGGTGGATGCCGGAAGGAGTTGCAGAGTGATCCTCAAATTTTGTGCCGCGCGCGTGGACACGCTCAGCTATACATGGTTTGGAGATTCCCAAGTTTACTGTATAGATTTGGGAACGCTGGGCTGGTTTGAGGCAGTCCAAGTATGCATATATCATATATCAGATATATCATATATCCTATTGCTGCCAACAAAAACATGTTTGTGCAGAAAAAACTCAGTGCTGGAGCCTTTGCAGCCCGAAATGACTGTAATATACTGTAATCAGTAACCCAAAAGGTGGTTGGAGTTGGTTGCCCTTCTCTAACCTTTCTCCGAAGGTCAGATGGCTCGGTCTCAGGAGTTGCGCCCGCTTCTGGTTCGATACGTCTTCCGCGAGTGCGAGCTGCAATCAGCCATGAGATCGCATGATGAAGGCCCACAAAAACTGGAGATGATGGAAGCTTGTCTTGAGCAGATGTCATGCAGAGAGAGAGAGAGTCAACGACATGAACAGTGGTGGGTGCAGTCAGCTCCGATCACATCACATCTCATCACTTGTGCCATGTCGTGCCTAGACAAGTCTCAGAAAGGAAAGGGATCGCCCGGGAGTGTCGAACTTTTGTTGGGACCGTCAGCACGCGAATGGTTGAGAGCAGACCTGACAATGCAGATATAATGCAGCAGATATGTTATATGTCCTAGGTTTCTAACATGAGATATTCCATGCATGTTTCGTTTCGTCCAAACAGGTTGTGCAAGTGGGCCGCACCCACACGTGTTTTTGATCTCCGAACCCAGGAAGGGATTCATCGCTATCATCAAGAGATGCGTGATCAGAACCCGATGCTCAGACTGTCTTCATTTTGTTGGCGTGGCGGGCCCTCAAATTTAGACCACTAAGGCCCCAGAAGTGTTGAATGGTTTAATTTTACACCAAGTTTTCGGACTGAAGTCAGTGTGGTGACGGCACAAGATTGACAAATCGTGGATGGCGGAAGCGAATGAACGGAAGCGAGGCCCCTCCAAGATGTGCATACAGGTGTACAGTACTGCACCTAGTTGCATAATTTGTCTTCGACATTTGGGTTGTCCGTATGGACAGAATTGGATATGATAGTAGGCTTTCACAATCTTTCACTTTAAGTCGGACAAGATCTTTTCTGGCATCCGGCTTGTTTCTCCTATCCACCAAGCCTAGATTTCTTGAAGCAGGGTCGGGGCAAGAAGAGGTCAGGCGATTTGGATCTTAAAGCAGCCTGGAAAGATGCGTTTTCCTCAAATGCTTTGCAATGAGAGCAAACCTGAACTCACTTCCATGTAAGGACAAGCAAATTGAAAGATAGTTTGCCACAAGCAAGCATGTTGCAGGGGCCCATCGTTGTTTCTGTAGATGATCCCTATGGTCCCATGTCCTTCTCCTGGGATTTCTATATGCCAGCCTACTAGGTTAAGCACTTGGAGAAGGAGAAAGAAAGAAAGAAAGCAAGCAAGCAAGCAAGGAAGATATAAACTACATCTCAGATGCAGGACTGACAGTAAGACTGACTTTTTATTCCTCCCACTGATAAGGTCAGACCCGCGCTTTTGCCTGGTGTCCACATATTAGATATGTCAGGAAATGGTTCCGCAGCTTATTGGAGATGCTCCCCGGAGCCGAGCCTGCAGAGCCTGCGGAACCGGACCCCGGAGCCAGGCCCTTCGGGCCCTTTGAATTGGCTCAGCTCATGAAGAAGCAGTGCAGATGGTGGGATGAGACTAGATGTTCCTTGTCAAAACCTGCATGTTTGTTTTACACATTACTGTTACATCACATTACACAGACACACACACACACACACCATATGATGTTTCTTTGAAGGCCTTCGTCGTTTCCTTCGTTGGCTGTGTGTGCTAGTGATCAATGCAGTACCTAGAATCCACCAGAGCTCCAGTTTCTACTTGCAGTGGAATGGGCATTTCCATGTGTTAGGCCATGTCACTTGGCCATTTATGGCGCGATTTCACCATTCACGGGCCGGGGGCACGGCTGACTTTTCCTTCCTTTTGCCGTGTTAGTCACTCAAGGTAGTAACTATTCAGACCCCACCGCGTGTCAAGCACCATCGGCCCAGGCAAATGAACTGCCTTCAGTGGAGGTGTTGGAAGATTACGTGAGCCTTTCCGGTGCGTGGGCTAGTCGTGGCTTCTGCGAACTTGTACATAGATGGATTGGACGGCAAGTTGTGTCACAAGGTGCCAGCAACAAAGATGTTGCTGTGCGCTGTAGCTAGCCGCTAGCCTTCTGAACTAACGGAGTCTGCTGGAAGACGGTTCTTGCTCTTCCCAAAATCTTGCCAGTACCAAAGTTGTGGTGGTTCTGAATGGTTTTGATGAGAAAAAATGAGAAAAAGCGACGCAGGGCAGGCAAAGCAAACATGTGGCTGACTGTTCCAACACATGTTGAAGCAACCGCTATAGTCGCTGGAAGCCAAGCAGTCCACATGGGTCCACACACTCTACTAAAAGTCACCCTGATCATTTGAGCAGCCCCTGCTTCGTTTGAGACTGAGGTCACCGACCGAAACCCTCGTGCCTGGCTCGTGATCTCGCCTTTGCTCTCGAAGCCGGAGCTGGTGGAGAAGGTTTGCCAAGGCACTTGGAGCGAGATTGAGGAGCAGTTGAAGGACGGAATGATGTCCACAGTGACAAGTGCAACATCGAGTACTGGCCGAGTAGCCGAACTCAAAAGGTCGGTTTGTTTCGGTTACTGCCTCATAATAGTAGTTTCTTGTTACCATAGTAGTTTCTTGTTAGCATAGTAGTGACCCCGGGAGCTGCTAGTAGCGTCCTTGCTCCTAGTAGCGGTGCCCTTTGTTCCTACTGTAGTAGCTTCTTGCTACTATTAGCGATGAGCTCCAACCTACTTGCGATGGCCTCCACCTCATAGCGTCCTTGTTCCGGATCGGTTGGATTTTGTGGCAGACTATCGTTCGTTTCGGTTCGGACATCGAACTCTTTGGGTTCTTGGATCGTTTGGTTGGAACGAACGATTTCCGCACACGCAGGCGGGCTCCATGTCTGAGAAGAAAGACCCGTGGTGGTTGGAAGACCATGTTCGGAAGACCAACCCGGTGGTTTTGGGGGTCCATGTTCATTTGGGGAGTATATAGATCAGGTATCCACTGATAGACTGGAGTCGGACTGGAGTAGGCAATTCAAATCATTTCAGTCACTTCCACCCTGCCGTGGGATGCTCGACCACCCAGGAGGAGCTGTCCTCGCTGATCCGCCAAGAATCGGATGTGTGGCGCAACTTCATCCAGCGCCATGCGGATATGGTCAGCAAAGACTCCTTGAAGATCATCCAAAAGGTCTTGACCCTTGGATACGTATGATACCTTTGGTATCACTGCAAGGTGGGAAAATTTATATGAATGGGTGATGGTAGACGAGTTGTTCCAATTTTGTGGGATCTTTTTTTGGAATCATGAAATAGCTAGTGGTCCACGTTTCCGAGATCCATCAGTGTTCGAGGTATAGGGTTGTGCTAGGTTGCTGGTCGGGATCTTCAGATGTGGTACTGTTTCGGTTTAATACGTGTGGTGTCAGTCCGCACGAAGTTGCTTTGAGGGCGCCGGATGGAGCCGGAAGCCAGACAAAAAGACTTCGACATCAATTGAGATGTTGAGATCAGTTGCATTCGGCATGCTTCACGTTCAAGACCTCCTATAGGCTTGGTATGTTCCCTTGGGCTGTCGTTCTTGGCTAGTTGACCAAACCACCAGTCTTTGAGATGCAAGAAGTTTGCAGTTTCAGCTACGTTTCCACCAGCGTCCCTTGGAAGCAGTTGTTCGGTTCCCTCAGGAAGGGCTGTCAGCCTGGTTCTGGATTGGGTCCTGACCTTGGACACCTTATTTCATCGTCATGAGATGCAAGCCCACCCTGTTTCCAGCCAGTTGATTTGCAAGTTCTCGCGACATGTAGAGGCTTCCACGGATTTACCAAACATTGCGACACCTCCATACGCCAGCATATGTGTGCCTACATGCTTGGACAGTCATGGGTCAGCGCCCTATGTTGGAGACACGCCGGGGTCTACGGTGCGGCTCAACAAGGCGCTTTCACCATGCGCTTTGCAGAAGACGTGCATGAAGCATGCCAGGCCGTGGCCGACTCTGTTGGGCTTCATCCACTTGGGGTGGTGCTTCGGTTCCTTACCAAAAAGGTGATGATATGTGATGATCTATAGAGACATTATAAACAAGCCACCACCAGGGTCGTCATTTCGTGCCAACCCCGCCTTGTCAGGGGGTTGTCACCACCTTGTTGGCTCCAGTGAAGGAACATCCCCCAAACTTGGAAAACATGCATTGGCTTAGCCTGCCTGTCATTGTTGCGATGCAGCCCCTGCAGCTGTTCTGGGCATGTACAGATTCTTCTCATTTAGCCTTACCACAGCACTTGTTGAGTTGATTGAACTATATAGCAGTTCCACCCCCAAAGATCCCAATCATCATTCCATCGCCATTTTCTGCAGTGCTTCACTGTCATCCATCCAACCCCATGCGCCGTTCGGAAGGCCCGAGAGCTGGCGGAGATGCGCTTCGCGGAAGCGGAGCAACGCTGGGCACGGACGCCCAGCGATGGCCGACACACGGCGATGGCCGCGCAGACCGTCCACTGGACGAGGCAGTTGACGGAGGGCTCGTTCGTTCCGCTCGTGTGCTCGTTCTTCAACGCAGACGATGACATTGGGGTCATTTTCGAGTGGCTTGTGCTGGTTGGGTGGTCGGTTGGTTGGTTGCTGGACCTGCTTTATTTGGTTGTGTTGTCTCGTTTCTTTTCCAGTCGGTTGGGTCAGGCAGTTGACGGAGGCATGAGGGGAAACTCAATATGACTCCAGAAGTGACTCCAGATCGTAATGGTGCCATTTGCTGAGGATATGTCAGCGCAGTTGGCCTTAGCAGATGCTGAAACCCGCCGCCTTGATATCGAGAAGAAGGCCAAGGATTGTCGATCACAGCTTGCGCCGGAGAAACTCACCACGAATCTTCGCGGGTTTCTCATGCCAAGTGTGAAGTTGGTTCCCAAAGCTTCCAGGTGACTCTGGACTTCGGAGAGCAATATAAACAATGAACAACATAATCATAGAGAACAGTTATGGGCAAATACTGGTTGCAGCACAATTCACCGTAAGACTCAGTGTAGTTTGCTTCATTTGTTGCACCGGACAAACTACTCCCAAGAGCACCTGTTATGGTAAATACATTAATAGGATGGGTGTTATGTGTTGGATGGTGCACCAGCCAGAGCCACCAATCCCACCGGGGGGATCCCGGACTCCGGGGATCCGGACCGACCAGGCGAAGCAATGGAAGAGTCGAGCGAAGCAGCAGGAGCATTTGGACCATTTGGACCAGCTGTTGGGGAGGCGTGAGTAGTGACTGAGTAGTGCGAGTAGCGTGACTTGCGGATGAGAACCTTGGGCACTTGTTGGTGAATCTCTTCCTTGGTAACCAGCTGGTGATTTTGGCCATGTGGAGATCCTCCACTTCCCCCCCCACCAGTGAGTCCAGGTAATATAGACCGATGACGAAAGGTGAAGCCCTATAAGTGGTCAAAGAAGCACCAAACACAAGTCAAATCGGGTTTGGATCGGTTGCTTCCAAATCGGGGTTGTGAGGGTGGCTGCAGGTGGAGAGCAACAAAACAAAGTGATTCTGAGTGGATGTTTCCCTTTGGGGGGTTTTGGTGGGGACTTCCACCCCAGGATGCCAAACAAGTTTCTAATGATGGTGGGTCGGGAATTGTTTTTATATATGGAAGGTTTGCCAGCCAAGTGTTTTGCCAGCCAAGTGTTCAAATCATTGCAGATTTCGGAGTGTCCGGATTCGGATTATGGATGTGTTTCGCGGTCGCCGGTTTACGAGCCTAGTTCTACGTGGCGCGTAGTTGAGCTTGCGAGCTCGGAAGGAGGCAGCTTTAGAGGTGGAGCAGCAGCAGGCGGAGGCTGGGGCCTGAGAGACGAAGAATGATGGGGTTCGAGGAAAACATTTCATCCCATTGTCAGCATGGGTATCAAACGTTGTTCAAACGTGATCTCATCAGAGCCTTTTGGATATACCTCTCCCTTCCTCCAATCCTTGTTAATGTGCACTTTATTGTATATCACGTCAAAACTGAAACTTTTGCCAAGGAGCAACTGTCAACCCTCCAAAAGAGCCATCGCGATGAAGTGTCACGACTTTACAAGGCGGGCGGCACGAGGTATTGAAGTAGCAGACCCAGTGCAGCGAGAGAGAGAGAGAGAGAGTGAGTGAGTGAGAGAGAGAGAGAGAGCAGACCCAGTGCACGGAGAGAGAGAGAGAGAGAGTGAATGAATGAATGAATGAATGAATGAATGAGTGAGTGAGTGAATGAGGGATACACGTCAGACCCAAGAAAGGATGACCAAGACGAAGACAAATACTGGGATCCCCGCCAAGAGCCCTCAAAGTGGTTTTAAGCTGGCCCAGTTGTTGGAGTCTTACTTACGTTGCGTAAGCATCACTTGGTTCTTCCAGGTACTGTTTGAACGTTGTGGAAGCCCAGCTTTGCGTCCAGTTTTCCTGTTCGGACCCGGATGTGCAGGACTGCGAAGAGGCCAAAAGGTCCTTGGCACACCAGGAGCTGCGCTGCCTCCAGCTGGCTGAAGAGGCACGGCGCAGCCGCTGTGTTGAGTTGTGGGCTGGCTTTGTCTCCGAGATCTCGATTGTGTTTATGATAGGTGCTTCAGATTCAGATGCTGTTAACTTGTTGGCACCTAGACATGTTGATGTGCAGAACCTACAGCCGATATTCTCCCTGCTTTGAGCAAATCCAAGGTGAGCGGGCTAGTTGGGTGTTCCTTGAACTTGAGGGATGGATTTAAAGTATCGCAGCCGTTTTATGTTTGTTCACACTTTACACTGGGCATCCAAATAGACAATAAATTCCCCAAACGACTGAACTGAACCAGGGACAAAAACAATCCCAAAGGATGCCAAGGTCCTTTCCTGCCAGGCTGAATTACTGCAAGACTCCAAACAGGAGGGCCGCCTGCTTCATTGTCGTACCATCCGTTTGCTGTGAGAATCATGAGCCTCCATGCTCCATCGAATATACTATTGTTGAAGATCTCACCAATGAAGAAGTGACACTGATGGGCGGTGGGTTCTTTGCTTTCATGTTTTTGCTGCTGTGAAATCATGCCGTGCGTTTATTGTGCATATTAGAGACATTAAAGAATGTCTTGCAAGTCAAGAGATACAATGAGATACCGTATTTAGGCGGACCAGTGGCGAAATTCCTTTTTGTGAGTTGGGGGATCCTGGGTGGCAGGAGTTGTTGCATGCGGTCGCCAAGTTGGATGCTGAAGAACGGAAGGACCGCAGGAGCTGGCGTAGGAAGAATGCGCCTGGGCCGCCTCAGCTCATTTTGGCCCTTTATATATCTACTGCACTTATCTTTTTCAACAAGAGAAGCAGTTAGCCAGCCAGAGTATATATGTAGAATTATGCAGATATCAGACATGATCGGCAGCCTGTTCAATTCCGTGCCCGCCACGCGTAGTATATTCATGAAGCACTCAGTCACTCCCTGAAACTCCGATCAGCGGGGAGTGCTTGGGCAACTCTCAGCTGAGGCTGTACTGAAGCAACACTTGAAGCAAAGCAAGAAGGAACAGAAGGACTCGAAGGGGTCTTGAATCACCTGACAGGTGTTGCACCTGGTTTCTGGCAGGCAACAGTTTTATGACAGCTTTCTCTTGAGCGGGATTGCATGAATCACCATTGCTAATCATTGCTGCCTAGTCAGGAGCTGCTTGCCAAGACAAAGGCTGATGCAGAGGCACCAGAACTGCTTGCTTTTTATCAACGTGAATTGAAGGTCTTAATTGGCCAAACCATTTTTGGACGCCCCAATTTCCGGGCCAAAGGGGACACAGACCACCATTGAGCCAGGAGAGTCCCATACCCAGTGTATCGGATGCCCATATCCTTTCTTTGGTTTCGGACAGCGGGAGGCAAAGCTCTCCGATGTGCAACTTGCAGTGTCGGAGGAGGCCAGGGATTGTAACCGGACACTGGAACCTAGCCAATGTTTTGGGAACAAATCGTCCCAGAGCATGATTTCAAGGGGCTCACTCTTTGTTGTTGTTTAATATGGAGTTTGTAATTGCAAGGATAGGGGAGCACATGCAAAAGCATTGCCAAAGTTGCAAAAGCAACCATTGCCACGCAAAGGCTTAAAGGGGCTCCATCCACTGCAAGATACCCTGAGACAGACTACAATGAGCTCACGTGGATCAAGCCAAAATGTGTGTCGATGCACCTTCTTTACAGTGTATTAAATATCCAACCATGCAGGTCTTTGACACCCTGGCTTTCACCCAGACAGCCCAGCGCTGTCGCGCTGAACGGAGGCTGCCCAGCTCCGTTTGCAGCTGGCGGAGGCTCAGTCCGCACAACGGGCGTCGCTGGCACAACTGGAGGTGCAGACAGCTGCTTTGCAGAGGCGAGCGGCGGATCGGGCGCATCCACGTCACTTTAGATTGCATATGATTGCATGATTCAGCATGATTGAAGAAGTGGGAAGGGATGTAAAGGCAAGTTGAGGCAGGATCCGTACAAGGTGAGGTTTTGGGTGTTAAAACTTAACTGCCCATGCAGTGGCTGAGTCCAGAACTCGAGTTGGCCTGATTCCATTGGACTTGTTTGCATCCTTCCAACCTGCTTGACATTCACAGAGCCATCTGTAGTTTGCATAGATGCGCGTGCACATGCGCACATGAGATTGATGTGCACAGCAACACTTTCGCCAGGACCGTTCAGCTTAACACTGAATTGCGGACCTCCATTGCAAAGGCGGAGGATGAGGCGAAGGCCTCTTATAAGGCCATTCCGTACTGCGCGATGCTGCTGGTGGGGGACCAACGAAAACGAATGGGGGGTGATGTACGCCACGACTGCCAAAACGTGGTGCTTCCATGATTAATTATTAGGTACATTCCGACTCACTAACATGGAAGTGCAAACCCCCTGTTTGTAAAGGAAGTCTTCCAAGGGACCTTTTTTTCACTTCCGTGTGATGTGTTCGTAGTGTATCGGAATCGGTGATCAAAGCACGCCTGACTGGTTGCATTTAGTTCTAGGCCACACCGACCTGGAGCGAGATGAGCTTTCTAGAGTTGAGGCTGCTTCCGGATTTCTATAGGCCATTGTGGCATTGCGGTCTTAAGAGATGAGTTTGAGTTTTGAGGTGGAGTTCTGTTTTGGGAGGCGCTCTCACTCAGCTTTTGTTTCACTTTCTCAGGTGGCGACAGCCACCCGGGCTGCAGAGCTTGAGGCCCGGGCAGCACTGGAGGCCTCTCGTAAGGTGCGGAGCGGTGGGGCCCGTGCTATGGCAAACATACTTCCCAGAATTGGTTGAAAGAAATATCCAGGGCCTAGGGGAAACCCATACCCTCCAACCAGGGTTCCCTGTAGACTTTCGCTTGAACCAATCCATTGAATACTGCAGACTTTACATGTGAATTGGGACGGACGACGTAGGGATTGCTCTTGGGGCTGCTGGCGACACAAGATTGCAATCTTGGAACTCGCCCGTCTAATCGCAATTTCGTTGCTTCCTGAAGCTTTTGCACCAAAAGGCTTGCACCTTTTTCAAAACATGCTACATTCAAGCTGTTGCTGTCACAGAACTCTCCCAGATCCCAGAACCAACACAGATCCTGTTCTTGCACGCACTTGACGCAGTCTGAGGACCAGAAAGCTCAGACACCTTTCAAAACGCTACTCATTTCACCAAGCTACCCTACAGAAATCCAGTGTCAGGAGCTGGAGAGCGCCCAAGAAGCTAGCGGCAAGGAGCTGAAAGAGGCAGAGGCGCCAATTCGAGGTTTCCTTCCTGGCAGCGATTCTTCGGTCATCAACGCCCATGACCGTTCGGGTTTTCCATGTTGGATGGCATGCGGCTGAACAATGTGTTCAAATCACGATTGGCTTGGTATCATTCATCCATATTATCCATATTAATGATTCCATGATTCATGCATGAAGCTGTGGCAGCCCATGTTCATCGGCTTGATATTTTTCTCGGCGCACATGGCGAAAGTCCGCAGTGTTCGGGTATTCAGTACGATAGGTCTTTAGGAGTCCTCCCGAATTCGAGTCATACTCCGTTGAGGCACGCCACGTGGAGGCTACAAAGGCTTTGCAAAAGGCCAAAGCTGACGCTGGGCCATTCGTGATTCACTTGCAAGAATGGAGACGGGACAAGGACCAAATGATCCAGATCTGCTTTGAGGGGTGGACCTACAGGATCCAACGATCAGATCCTGCTTTTCGCGACCGGGTTTAGGCTTTGGTTATACTATTTTTGTTGCAGAAAGCCAGCCCCTCCTGCACGCGAGCTGTGCCTCTACTCCAACATCCAAGGAAAATGACGCTGCGCGAGAAGAGGCATGTAACTGACTGCGTGTTGTTTTGGGTACTTTGCTGTGATGGAATGCGCCAAGCATTCGAAGGTTAGGAGAATAGAGTCGTAGTAGAGTTGACACCTGGATCACCTTCAGACATGTGGGTCGCCAACACACACACACACACACACCAGGCGAGACTGTGACATTTTGAGACACCGATCCGCATTTGCTTTGGATTCCTTCCATCAGGTGGCTCACTTGACTGAAACTTGCCGTGGCTTGCGAGTGGATGCTGCGAAGGCCAGTGGGCACCAGTGTGCTTATTGGTCTGGAAACATGCGAGGTGGTAGAGCAAAAATTGCCCTAGGGCCTAGGGCCTTGGGTCAAGAAACCCAGAAACCCAATGATTCCTGGCTGTATACTGTAGTGATTTGTAGTGATCGACTGTGTAAGTGCTTCAAAACCATTCAACACCCATGCAGCTTTGTGATCCACAACCCTCGGTCGGTTCGCAGATTGCCAGGCCACCCTTTTGGAGCGCGAAAAGATCAGCATCGAAGAACAGCTGCCTGCCCAGTGACAGTTGATGACGGTTTATGGTTTATGTTTAGGCGAGGGCTAAGAAGGCAAACGATGCCCAAGGAGGACGCCTTTGTGGCAACGCCATGCCCGCTGCATTCGTGATTGCGAGGGTGCCTGTTGGAGAAACACAGCCTTCAAAGACAACGTTGGCGCACTCTGGTTGTCATGAAGGGGCTAAGCTTCATCATGTGCGAGCACCTACAAAAATACTATAATTATGCGTATGTCACTCTCTCCGTTTTGGGGTGTTATTGCTCAAAGAATGAGATAGAATGGGAACACAGCTGTAGCATCACATGGGCACCCTTGCAGCATGGCCCTGTTCCATTGAAACGGATTCAGGCTCTCACAAGCATCGCACGCTCAAAGCAAGTTGGCGAAGCGCCACTCGGAGCTGTCAGGATTATTGATGGGAGTAAACACCCAACCTCCTACTCGGAAGAATCTCCAAGCGAATTGACCAGGGGCTGCCTGCCAGATACTTGGATTCATGCGAAAAGGTGATTTGCAAGAAGGTTTCGGTCGCTCACATTCATTCTCCTGTAGTTGGTCGGAACCACCCGAGGTAGGAGCACAGGCAGCGAAAGACATGAACAAGTTGAAGACACAAAACACACACACAAACATACACAAACCAATCAAGACCGTGTTTCGTCCACGTGGTTGCGGACAAGTACACTTTGTCGTAGTAAATGGGACTAGGTTCAACAAAAGGACAGCTGTATAGAGTTGGGCATAACTTTATGGCACTCCGGTACAGACCCTTGCCGATGCTCGTCTTGGTGCTGGTACCACAGCACTGAGGAACTAGTTCTGCTGGTGCTGCTGCTGCTGCTACTGCTGCTTCTGCGACAAGCAGCGACTCATCAACGTCATCGTTTCCATGACCCCCATCACGAGCATCCGCCCTTGCGGAGAATAGGATATAGTCATCAGATGCATCTAAATTGTAATTGATAGATGGCTCAAACTTTACAAACTATGTTTCTCTGGTCACTTCGCAGAAGCAACCAGCCTCGATCATCCATCAGCATGCTGCCCATCAGCGTCGTCCAGCATGGTCAGCACGTCGCGTCCTTGGGCCCATTCCTTCGAGGAATCGAAGCGGCCGAGCAGACGGAGCAAAAGCTCCGGGAGGAGTTGCTGCAGCGAGAAGTGGAAGTGAAGAATAAGTGACCTGGATGTGGATGGGATGGGAGGCAGTTCGGTGGTTTGGGAAAGGACGGGTATAGAGAGGTAATCTATTCGGGTTAGGTTATAGGTGGGGGGTGGGTTTCTGGAGTGCCAGGGAAATTGTGGGTATGTCGTCGGCCGCTTGTTAGTTGTAACAGTTGTCCTGTACATTCACCATGCAGCTTCATCACTTCAATTGGTCAAGCAATAATTCTCAGTCGGACTTTCTTCGGACTGAATCCCTCCCAAATAGCCCGGTGTTTTTGATGTCAACCGCCAAGAGCTGGGCATTCAAGGAGTAGGGCACCATGGGATCCACTTCCGATCGCTGGACCTTGCCGAGGATTGAGACGCCTGGAAGCTCAGGACGGCCAGTATCGTGTGGACAAATGCATCTACGGTCTCTATGGGCATGGAGGCTCTCCAATATAGATGGTAGCTAATGGTCGATGGTTTTACAAAACATAACAATAATATAGTATTCATCACACATGGGATAAGACTCAGTCTCCTGCAATTGGTGGCTGAAAGGTAACTCAATAATGTTTAGTCCCACCAGTGGGGCCTTTCCCCGCCGCAAGGGACCATGGGGCGAGGGTGAAATTCAAAGCGAAGCAGTTGAGTGATGGATTAAGGGGTGTTTATTAGGATCCAAAAGACGCGATGGTGAATTTTCTGGAGGCCGACCGACCCGACACTCCTGGAGTGTCACTTCAAGTACTGGAGATACCTTTTCCAAAGCAGCTTAGTCACTCGTGGGTCAGAGTTGGGTGACCGTGACCAATCGAAACTAGAATGGCTTGGCCGCATTTGGCCGCAAATGCTCAGTTCAACATAGACAGACCATGTATGAGAACATGTGAGAACCATGGGAAGTCTTTTGCCCTTTGAAGCCTGGTTGTCAGGTTCCAGGTGTGCATTTGAAGGAGTGCATTTGGGGTTTCATATGCGGTTTATTCAGACTATCTATGTTCATTTTTCGGCAGTCTAGCCACCAGCGACTGCTAGTCACAGGGAGATGGAATATTCCACTCCCTGGAAGATTCATGAAGATTTCAAAAACCAGAAACAATCAACCACCTCTTTGTCTAGAAGGACTTTAGGGTCATCCAAGGGGGCCATCCCATGGACCCCACGGCCAAGCTCAGGCTGGAGCACCTTCAAGCGCGGAACCGAAGCCTTCAGGTCACCTCAGCACCTTGGTGAAAGATGGGGACAGAGGTCGGGGAGGGAAGGAAATTGAGTAATTGTTGGTGACTTGATGCAATGACACACATTTGTTCCCAAATGTATGTTGATTTTGTTTTAACATGTTTTAACTAATTTAGTTTAAATGCATGCTGACGGCTCCGATCACCGCAAAAAGTGGTTTTCTTCTTTTTCTTCCGAAGGGAGTGGGGGGAGTGTCAAAAGTCACCCAGGCTGTTGTTTCAAGGCAGTGGTGCGTGGCCTTGACGCCATGGGCAGGCTGAAGCTGCAGAACGAGAAGCTGAAGCTTCAATGAGGCTGAAGGAATCTGAGGCGAAGCTGAAAGAGGAGTTTCTTGGTTGAATCGACCGGGGTTGTTAAAAACCGACCGAATGACCGCACGCGGTGTTAGGTCCAGATCGCTAGAACTCTTGCTTTTCAGAGTGCGATCATATCGCCTTTCCTCCACCAACCATTGCCTAGGTCGGCCATGGCCTCGGCAGCCCAGGCAGCGCTTGCGTCAGCCCGTGAGGCTGCAGAAGATGCGAAAACACGGTGCATCAAGGCGGAGGAGAGGCCAAAGTGAGTCTAACGATAGTCTCATAGTTGTCTAGCGTTCCTGAAAATCGCCACGCATTTTCTACCCCTTGAAATGCTAAGGTTCCTTTCAGCAACCAGCAATTGTTTTCGGTGGATGTGGTACCTTTCAAGGTTCGTGCAGGCGGCACGGCAAGCACGCGGATCACCTCGGCAGTAGTTGGATGGATCGCCCGCCAAATGGTTGGGATGCTCCTGCGGGTCCGCGGCGTACAGTCCACAGCATATAGCAGTGTAGAGCGTACACCCTTCGAGGTCCATCCCAGCCAAGCATTGAAAAGAACACTTGAATAGGTTTCTCAAAGACACCATGTCCCTTCCTCAGTTGTGTGGCACGCGCAGTAACAATGCAGCAGTGTTTGCCAGTGCTTGTTCACGAGGAGCTGGAACGAGCTGCCAATGCGAAGCGTTCGCAGGCAGATGCGTTTCAAGATGTTCTAGTGATCTTTAGGGTGGGAATTTCTGCAGCGTGCCATTCTGGAAGCTCAGATTGGGTAGGAGGACTTGTTGGGATGGAACATGTTGGATGGTACTGCAAGATTATTGTTGGTTCTTGATGGTGCGATGTTTAAAAGCACTTCATTCATCCTGCAGGCCGTGAACCCAGCATATAGGATGCAGACAATATTATTCGATATTCTTTTGCTAAGCCCTATCCAATGCACCAGCTTGAACTATTTATTGGACCAAGGACTGATCCAAGGACGTGTCCATATGGAGCCCCAACAAGGAACACACCCCAGGAAATTAGCGAATGTGCAGAGGCCTTCGCGTGGGCAAAGAAGGAGTGCATAATCAGTGCATATAGCTGTGTGCATTCTCATTGGATTCTTTTGTGTAGTTTCAAGTGTTGGAACTCTTTGGTTGCTGGTAGGAATCTATAGTACCAAACCCATTGGTGTAACCGCCCTTACCCATCCTTTGTCCCAGCACACGGTGGAAAGGATGCCCGTTCGCTCCAATCACTCCACCTTGCGGAGGCGGAGGAGCTGCAAAAGGAGGCGGAGACGCGAGCCCAAGAGGCCCAGGAGGCGAGCGTCAGAACGCCCGAGACGCCGAGCGTGGGGGTTGGTGGGCACGTGTTCCGAACAGCGTGCAGGCTGGAAGTCATGGTGCGAACACGAATTCCTTCACAGAACCTAGTGGCAACAGGAATCAAATAGCGATGGTCTCCACCTAGTAGCGATGGCCTTCAACCTATCAGAAGGAAGTGAGACAGTGAGAATTCTTTGAAGCAGACTTGCCCGTCTTGCCCAAAACCTGCGGGATTGGTTCAATTGGTTCCGCGGCAGGGATGCCACGGGGTCTTAGAAAGACCTACCAATCGACGGCCATCTTACTCACCTCACTTCCACGGCCTGTTGTACATTGTACTGGGGTCACCACTTCACGGTTGAAAGGTCGATAGCATGCCAAGGATGCCGTTGTTTTTCGCAAAATCTGGTGAAGGCGAAGCTGCTAGCTGCTCCAAAATGTTGTACAATGTCTTGTTCGTTCTTAGGGGCTCCTGGCCTTACTACGAACAAGAAGCTACGAACGCGGCTCCTGGCATCGCTACTAGGATGCTAGTTCATAAATACAACTTTGCTTGGAGAGATTCGCCCGCAATCTGAGTCACTCCGATGCTCCAAAGACTCCACAGGCACGAGTCACCACACAGCAGCAATACCTGCAGTCCAAGGCTGGATTCATTAAAGGGAGACGCGGTGTTGGATGCAAAGGAGGAATGCTCAAGAAGCAACATCCTTATAGGAGTAGTAAGGATGCTACTAGGTGGAGGCCATTACTACTAGGAACAAGAAGCTACTAGGAACAAGGACGCTATTAGGTGGAGGCCATCGCTACTAGGTGGAGGCCATTAACTACTAGTAACATCTAGCAACAAGAAGCTACTAGTAGCTATTTGCCACTTTCCGGTCATCCCAGATCATCCTCCTTCAATCCGCCCAGTGAGGCGCAGCTCCAGTCCCAGCGGAACGAGGCCAAGCACTTGACGGAACGCTGCGCCTTGGCTGGGAGTGGTGCAGGAAGGGGTGCCGTCGGGTGTTGAAGATCAAGGGCGCGATCAAACCTAGCTAAATGAGACCCGATATAAATTCCTGGCTTAGTACGAGCCGAACAGCTTCATGTATGTCTTGAGGCTTGTAAGTAGTATGGATTTGAGGGTAGACACTTCGTTATCACGTTATCACTACAAAAGGTGTCTTGACGAGCACAGCTGTGCAGTCATGTTTACCAGGCTATCACCTGGTGAAGCCATCAATCAGAGATTGACCAAACCATTAAACATCATGAAGGATTGATATGCAGGTGCAAAAGGGTGTGTCTCGCTGACACAGGTGAGATAAAGGCAAGGTGTGCGAGGTCCTGTTTCGTTTGAGGTGTCAGCGACCAGTCCACTGATGTCAAGACACGGTCGGTTGACCAGCTTGACTGGTTTTGTTCCACGGCGCAGTGTCTCCAAGGCAGTCAGCTGAGCTATGAGAAGGCCCAGGCTGAGAAAAGAGCCGATGGCGAAAAGGTATCGAAAGAACAGGCCCGAATTGCATGGGAACACTGGGGTTTTCCGACTGTTGGAAGACGTAATTACTGCACACTAGTTGAGAGGAGAGATGGTTTGAAGGTGGGGCGGGAACTAGCGGAGACCGACTGCCGTGCTGCAGGCTTGGTTGATAAGGTGTTGAGCACACTTGGAGGGGAGGTCTTGCATAGGAGCTGAAGCCTTTGCCCTTCCGACCTGTGCTGTCAATCGAACATGGAAGTAGAACAGGCAATGTTTGGTAGACACGGTTTCAGCCGGTTTCAGCAATGTTTTTTCGAACACAACATGTATACCAACTGACGGGGTTCAGGACCAATCACCCCTACTGGTCACGTCACCTCCAGGCTCAGCAGTCCCTGCTGGCGAAGCAGGTGCAGCTTTAGCGGAAGGAACATGTTGGAGGGAACATGGGAGCTTCCAAAAAATCCAAAACCGTTTGAGTAGTAGTTGGTTCTTTTCCATCTCATGTTGAAAGAACATGAATATAACACCACCAGGTAGCCCAGGTTTTTGGTATGAGGCTTTCAACAGCTTTTCAATTGAACTGGCCAAAGCTGTTGGACCACCGTGTCCAGCCATGTTCTGTGGGAGAGACAGGTATACCTTGATTGGGGCATCTCCATTCAGAGCCTAGTTTCTAGTTGCTGTTGCTTCTAAAAATGCAGAATGATGGCAGAATGATCTATGATTCTATGATCTACACAAACTGCCCAAAAGCAGCCCCCGTAGTCCGTCCAGATGTGTTGCAAGGGGCGACATGCGTGAAGTCATTGCACCTTCAATCCGGCCGCCCTTGAATCCTGATGAGTGCCGTGCGAGACTGCCCTCCTGCGGGTTCCATAATGCTTGACTGTCAAGGCCGAGTTTGAAGTGGTGCAGGAGACTGTCAAGGCTGTCCAGGAGTGGGGGCAAGATGGCCGGTTAAGAGCAGATTGAAAGCAGATAGTCCGTTAAGATCCATGAAGGTTTAGTTGTTAACGCATCATTGTGATACACAACCCTGGTGGCTGATACTCAAAGTCCAGCTGCCAGTCACTACACTTGATCGAGTCTGTTTGTACTTTTTCTGAAATCATACTTAGATATACTGAGCAACTGCAAGCATATACAGATGGAACTCGATATCTGATAGGAACTCTGTTTGCGGATGCTAGAGATGATACAACTTCAAGGATTCAAGGCCATTCAAATTGGGCCAACCGCTGGCGACGGCCCAGGAGTCCAATCGGACCCTGCGCGAGGATTGCGCTGCCTTGCGAGCCAAGTCCATGGAGGTGGGATGGTTGTGCGCGGGGTTTGGGGGATAAAAACGTGTGATGTTTTGTAGCTCTTCCAGTTTCTTCCGAATTCCAACTGTGTGTCAGTGTCAGTCAGTGTCAGTTTGTCTTTGATATAATATCGGGGCTGAAGCTCAACCACCACAAGACCAGGAATCCACGAATCACCTTCGGTTTGGTCAGTGGAGTGGTGGAATCCAATGCTGCATCGGTGCAGGCGTTGACTTTGTCGGAGGAGGCTCAACGTTTGGCGGAAGCCGCCCGGAAACAGCGGCTGGCAGCCGAAGAGGAGGCTTCAGACATGCCGCACCACAGAGGTGTTCACAGCGCTGATTTGAAGGAGCAATAACGACAGAGATTTCCATGTCATGAGCCAGAAGGTGATTGTGTATATATACATTGACATACTCTCTCCATTCCATAACATACGAGGAAGCAGTTGTTCAACCAACTTCTTAATAAGAACAAAACATACTGGAGCATTCCGGCGCACCTGACCTAACGGGCCATCGATGCGCAGGTATCGATGTCCAAGAAGGCAGCAAGATTGGCAGAAGATACCTGGACTTGGCCGCCGATGTTTCTGAATGTTCTAATTAATTACAGGCCGCCGGGTCGAATCCATCACTTCACTTAAGTTTGTCCTGCGACCCGAGCAAAGGACAAACTGGGCGAAGTGTTGCAAAAACTTGAGGTTTTGCAGAATGAGATGCTTGGCAGCAGTTGGTCGACCGCCGCAGTGGTTTTGACTGCATTGGCCGTGTTCGATTGACTTCGGACGGCGTCCAGTTGGCTTGGTTGCCGTCAATGTCATCATACCTGGCCGGGCACTAAGGCGCCAGTCGATCCAATCAGACATGGCAAAGCTCCAAAAGACCTGCGCAGAGAAGGAGAAGGAAGCGGAACAGGCACTGGAGGAGAAACGGCACCTTGCCTGAAGCAACAGGCAGCTTCTAGTTGGTTCATGTTGGTTCAAGTATTGAACTCACTTTGACTTCGCAATGAGTGGACCAATCCGGGTCGGCTTTGAGTCTGAGTTTGGTTGAGGAAAGCGGCTTCGCGGCTTATCGCGCAGGTTCCGGGTCTTGAGGGAACGTGTTGATCCGCTTCTTTCGTCAGTGTGCCCATGTTATCCGATTCTGGCTCTTCAATTGGACGGCTTTCCATTTTCAAGCAACTTCCACCCTCCAGGCTGTTGAAGTAGGACCAAGTAGACGCAGACAACAGACCATTCCCTCAAGGGCACCGCTACTAGTAACCAGTAACAAGGGCTTTACTACTAGTAGCAAGAAGCTACTAGTAACGGATTTTCGCTTATACCATGCCAGTTCAGTTCCTAGCCTTCCAGTTCCTTCAAACCTGCCAGAACGATTCGGCGAGGACGCTGAGGCACAGAGCCTGAGCCGTGCCTGCGCCGCCCTCAAGGGCGACGTGGCGGCCGGTCGGCGCCGGGAGGAGGCGCTGGAGCAGCGAGCCAAGCAGGCAGAGGCGCGGTGAAACTCCAACAGGTGGGCTCACATTCGAGGCAGATCCAGATGTTCGATCTTGGTGAAATTTGATATTAGAATGAACATCTCAATTGATTTGATTCAATTTAAAGGTGCTTGTCAGTTTTGCACCTCATGTGACGGTGAACAAGTGCCGGTCGAATTCCTTCAGAATTGAAGGTGGGGAGCTTGGGGATGTGGGCGGTGCGTTGGTGGCCTGTTTTATAATGCCTTTCTTTATGTTTTGTGTCCAAAAATTCTTAATATCGTGTTGCCTCTCTCATGTGGTGACCACCTGAGACCGAGATGCCCATCTGTCATCTGCCCATCTCGGTCGGTTTCGGTCCTTGGCCCCCTCCTCGCCATCGTGAGCTTTCGAGGGCGCGAGGAAGGACTTGGCTCCAGGGAGCCAATCTAAATCAATTTGCTACTCTTTTGGACACCTGGAATCTGGAAGGAGGCTGACGTATGTGAATGGTGTTTTTTTCGGCCAGCTTTGCTTCATCATCTCCAACATGCCCATTGAACTCCAGATTCTTTTTGTACCTTGGATTGCGATCCTTAGACTATAAAAGGTGTTCCGCTGATTTGGGCACATGCAAGCCATGCAAGCTAGAATGAAACTACAATGAATTTGACGGAGTCATGTCAGGACTCTCCATTCAACTTCCATCTTCGGAACATTCGGAGGCAGAGATGCGGCGCTTGGTGGCTGAGATGGCCACAGAACCAGATAGGCGTCCCCTGCATGGGACAGCGGGTGCTGTCGCTCAAAAGGGGGGAGGGGACGGATGATTTGTTCACCATGTCCAGACGAAGTTAGATTGAATCCTTTTCATTTGTTGGATCCTGTTCAGCTTCAGTTGTTACCCTGGATCGGTCAGGCTAGCTTGCTTTCTCACAAATTGACCCGGCCAGTTTCTACTTTCTGGTGAAACAGGTTCAAGCTCAGAATGTGTTGAAAGGATGTGAATGACATTTGTGCACATGACCCGCCGAGGGAGCCACTTGTCATGTAAGTTCTATCAGGTTGGAAGCTGAATTGGATGCTTTGGTGGATGCGCAATCGCACTTGGACAGCACTATGTCGACATGTTTTGGACAAAGTCAGTTTGGACAAAGTCAGTCTATCAGTATGGTAAAGCCTTTCATGGCCATGTCCCACTGAGATTGGACTTAGGACGTAGCTGAAGCAACTGTTTTGTTGGACAGCAGCTTGAATCATGAATATGGCAGCACTTCAGAGAATTTCCCTTGAAGTCCAAAACAAAGGTCAAGAAGGGTGTTCAGCTAAGCCTCAGTTGTGGTCCGGATACTTTTCTGGCCTTTTCTACGCTCGTTGAGGCCTGATAAGCCACCGGACATGACAGACGCGCCACCGGCCGCGCGGCACAAGAAGGGGCTGGGTGGGGTGGGGGAAGCAGGGTGATGTCGCTTGAAAGCATGTTAAGTTAGGAAATAAAATCATTTGGAATCTAGAAACTCGTCAAGTTGTTCAACCGCTGGAATGCAGCACTGACATCAGTTGATCCTCCGAGGCCATGGCAGCACGATCCGAGGACGAGGTGACTCCGAGAAGCAACGGTGAATGATAATTGGCCTAACAGAGATTCACCACCAACTCAGCCAGCCTGATGATAGCAAAAGTGGATTCGGATACTTGTGGATCCATCTCCGCACCTGTCCAAAACCTTCAAGTACAATTTAGGGTGTCACGGCTGGTGTTTGCAGATCATATCCTTGAATATCGTAGATTGTGATATAGATATATTATATATATATACACAGTAAGTGTTTTGAAACGGCCTGATGATGCTTCACCCTTAACTTCCATGGTTGAAGTTTTGGTTGAGGCATGGTGAAATCACTCCTACAGGCTTCCAAACTAATTACAGCTCCTGGCAATTCAATCATGATAGACAGGCTTGGCCCAAAGAAGACATGTTTCGTCGTGGACACTTCCTGACAAATCTCAACAACGTGTCATAAAGAACACCTCGCTGGCTTAAAAAACAAACAAACAGTTCAACCCGTTTACATCACTCATGATCATTTGAAGCTTGATTGAGCTGGCCTCCAGGCGCCAGCCAAGAAGCCGCGGATTGATCAAGGCCGGCTAACTCTGGCGCTCGACATATTAGCGCATCCCAGCTACAAGAGCCGAATCACCTTCGTTTGAAGTCCTTGGGCCTGTTTTGTCCCTGAAGTCCTTTTGGGCACGGAGATCCCCGCGGACCCTTGCAGGTTCGCAGCCCTCAAAGCGAATCCGCTGTAAGAGCAAGGACCCTGGCCACCTGGCGTCCAGACTAACCGGAGTCGAATGACACGGGGATGGAGATTGGATCCGAATGGATCATAGCGAGGCTGCACGGCCGTGACCACAGCCTGTCGGTCAAACCATTCGGAGACTTACCGAGGCTACCTAGACTTGGGTGAAACGACCCTGGGAAGGTGAAGGAATCACGACCCCACTCGAAGACCGACTTCGAGATATTCTTTTAGAGCCTAGACATAGGACCAATATTGATCAAAGTAGTGATGAAAGTATTTATAAAATAAGAGCTTTGGCATTTGACAGAGCTACCACCCGATTGGATGTTATCTTCTGGAGGCATCTTCAGCTTGCCTCGCCGTTGAACTTTCCCATGTCGGCTTGGCTCAAATGTTGTAAGATGGGATGCTAGCGCCATCCTCCTCAGCCGCCCCATGCCGGCATCGCTGAAGTCTCATGGGCTTTGGTGTGCACTTGCCGGTGCTTCTATGGAGCATCAGGCAGGGTAAGTTTTGCAACTTTTTGCAGCTCTTGGGGGGGCCATGCCTTCACAAGCAAGATGGTCAGTTCATTCCTACTCTTTGAGGTGTAGGATGAGATGATTGAGGCAACGGCAAGAAGCTGTTCAGAAATTGATTGGACGGTTTTCCTGTTGTGAGGCTGGGGGGTGGTGTCCATATGTTTAGTTTCCATGACTCCAGATTCCATGCCTTGCCGCTGAACGAGCCACATCGAGCCACGACTTCAGGTTGCTGGAGACGACTCCAATTGTCGTGAGCCCCAAGGCGCAGCTCTTCGCCAACGCGACCGTGCCTCGCTGGATGACGGCTGCAGTGCTGAATTCCCAATATGTGTTTTACCATGTTTTACCCTTATAATATAGTATATATATATATGTGTGTGATATTGCAATTGTATGTGCATATTCGTATATATATATATATTTATGTTTTTTCGGACGGACTTTTTGTTTTACTTGGGTGGGGTGTAAGGATGGAGTGAATTCTTTAATTCTTCACTCCAAAAACGCTCTCTAAGCCTCTAAGCATTCAAACATGGATTTCTGTATGGCCTTCGGCTTGGAACACCAAGATGTTTGAGACACTGGGAGCTGCGAAAAACCACGAGTGACCCTACTACCTCCTCATACCTTATCTATAGTCTGTAATAGGTGAGCTTATTTGTATTTGGTTATCCAGCTTCGACCTTGTTCTGGCATCTAGAGGGAGCTAGTTAGATATTTTATAGTTTGTATATTTTAGTTGGTTTTCCAGTTGCATCATTTTCGGACCATGAACTAATCACTGCCAAGTCCATCTTGAGCTCCGCTCGTCCGCTCCAAAAGCCGAGGCGCGCTTGACGAACTGTGACATACCCGGTGCCGTGAGGCCTTTGCCACAGGGACGGGAGATTCACAAGCCGAACTCAGTTGATTGGCATTGGTCGGCCGCCTGTCTATATATTGGCTCTTTTGGGCTCCATTTGTTGTGGATCACATGTGTGGGTGGGTGCCGAAAGGAAGTCGACATATATTTACATGCTTGGGCCTTTGTCGTGAAGAGAGCTTGGAAGCGCATACCAGGGAACGACCCATCTGTAGGTAGAGCTGATCTCATGGCATGGCCCGAAGCCAGCGCAAACCTTGGACCAAGCCATGCATAAGCCTCTTGAGGCCATCGTCGTATGGGGTTGAGGATGTTTGCCTGTCCAATTTTTGTGTTTCAACACAATGAGTCACTACAGCCTTCTATAGATGAACATGTACTTATTATCTCTTATTGCAATTTCCTATTTACACATATGTACACTTGATGATCACCAGACACAGACATGCCACACAGCGATGGCGACCTGGACTCAGGATGATGGTTTGCAAAGTTGCGACGGGACCTGCACCTATCGTGACGATTTTGGTGCAGGTGCCGAAACTGCTCGTGCATTTGTAGACTTAGAGCTGCTATGGGTCTTGACTGTAGAGGGCTTTGAGAGTCTGTGACGAGCGTATCGTCTAAGTGAAAGCAACCTATATAATTAATAGAACAATCAGTCAATGACCTCAACCCACTCCTGTAATTGGGACATCCTGCTCATTATACTATATTGATGGGGGGCAGATCTGGGGAGGGAGGTCCTCTTGGTGCTTTGATTTGTGTCGATGACCTGAAGAGGCGCCTTTTGGTGCCCTTTGCTCGATGGTCTCGATCGCTTGCATTGTGGTTGCCAGTGCCTGGGTTTCCTTTGAGGGCACAGGACAGTCATGTAGAATATTTATACAATCGTAAGCCAGAATATGTGTTCTTTTAAATTTGATTGGTTGGGTTGGGCCCTGACAGCATTTAACCACTTTAGCTGATGCAGCGTTGCCACACAGGGCAACAAGGGCTCAAAGTATGCCTCTCCCAGAATCAAGGACAGAATGCATGCATCGCCACTGTTTCACCCAATTTGGGCAAAACATGTGTTATAAGTTAACGTGCTATTCTGTGATTTGAGTTGGTGCACAATTTTGTCGTCGCTATTGCGATCTGTTCCCCTTTGGCCTGTTCAATCTAGGTCATGCCCGTGTCAAGACGGCATGGGCGGATTTCTGTGCAGCCACTGCGTGGATGACGCTGCTTGCCGAGTGGAGCGCGACGCCGACGCCTCGCCGTCCGACGCGTCGGCGGAGTCGGCCGAGTCGGAGCAGAAGAGGCCTTGGTGTAGCAAGTCAACGGCGGTGGACCGGAAGGACAGGGCGTGAGCGAAAGGGAGAGGAGTGGAGTGGCGTTTCATGAAGTGGTGGAGAAGACTGGAAATCAGGAGGTTTGGCATTTTTTTGCATGATTGACATGGTTGGATGGACATGACACATAATTGCCGCTGCCTTTGAAAAACGATGAAAAACGCACATGGATACATACATGCATACACACCTACCGACCGACAGACAGACACACGCACAGATTTTGCACCTACGATTCAGGCGCAAACCGCTGCAATTTCCCAGCGCTCCAAGACAGTATGTTTAACTGGGCTAGGACTCGGACCAGGAACTTCGTTGAACAATTGCGGGTGACATGTCAACAATTCTCACTAGGGGCTAGGAATTCTTTTTTACAACATACAAACCTGCAGGAAACATGAATAAGCAGGGTGAACAAAGCTGACGCATTAAGCAAGAGTGCTTTACTTCCTTTAGATCAGAATAGGATCCTTGCAAAGACGTTTTTCACTTGAGTAGTGGTCTTTTATTGTATACAAGAAGCCTTGCCGTACCATAAGCCTTAGCACACAAAAAGGGGCCTCAACCAGTACGAGCCCCACATGATCATAGTAGAGTTTATTCCCATTCACCTCATATGCTGCTTGGCCAGTTTATGTAGAAACCCTGTCCTGACAACATCCACAAATGCACCAAACTTGCGATTCAACTTGCGAATCACAATCCTTTGCCCACACACCACCCAAGCAGGATAGCTACAAGCACAGCTACCAGGTATGCGGGCACGCGCCGGGGCAACTGGCTCTTAAGGGCTGCAGCTACTCACGGAGAAATAATTGTATAGCTGTTGCTCGCTGGTTGCTCCTATAAACATAATTCCATGAAACAACAGCAACGCATAGGAAAAGCAAGCCTTGCGTTACATCAAGCAAGATGGGTGGCCGAAGTGAGAAGTGGACACATTAAGAAATATGCGCTCTACCATCCTTAGATCAGAATAGAACCCTTTGAATCCTTGTAAAGGACATGTTCTTCACTAGTCACGTGGGTCTCAGACTGGTGGCGGCATTGTATCATGAAAAAATACATCAAAATGGGAAGCAAGGTCTTAAAATCTACACCAATGCTTCCTTGCTACTGTAGAACCTTGTCCCCAATGGTTTCAATGGCCATCACCATGCTCACTGTGCTTGAACAAAAATTGACCACGGACTGTGCCTAGACGGCCGTAGCGCTTTCGTGCGTGCTAAAGAGCTCTTTCGTGTGCTATGGCCTATGGCCAAAGTAGTTTTGCAGGTTCCTTCAGGCTTCAGGGCCAAAGAGGAGAGCGTTCGTACTTTTTTAGTTCATGAGTGCTTTTGCGCATGCTGACAGGTTTTTAGGTAATGCAGGCGTCACACCCATTCTTGGTTTTCACACTTTCTCCGGGGAGTGGGGGGGCGGTGGGGGAGGCAATTGGCATATCACCATGCAGTGTGAAGATGAAACAACTGTTCTTGTGGATGAAGCGACCCTTCGTGAAAACCGGATTCCGGAAAACGAGCACTACAATGTCGCGCATGCAGGTGAAACGATAGTTCGTGTAAACTCGATACTGGACACTCGAACACAACAATGTTTGCATTGTCATGGCCGCAGTCTTCTTGTTTCGGATCGTTCTTTTTGTGTCGTGTTTCTTTTCCGACCTTGTTCACATCCCTGTCCATTGTCTTAGTTTGGCAGGGCCCATATGCCATATCCGTATTAGTTCTTCAAACACAAAGTACTTTGGGGGTCGCTAAAAAGAAGTGAAATGGTGTATAAAATGCACTTGTCGTTGCAGCGAAACGTTCATTTACACTCTCCCCAGTCAGGTTGAGGCCTCAACGGCACAGATTCCAAGAAAACATCAGGAGCCCAGTCAGGCTAAAGGCGTACAACATCTCCAAGATGTAAACACCCACGACAACCCCCACGGCCGTTTGCGCGCCTTGGACCTAGCTTCTTCGAAGCGCAACAGCGAAAGTTCGTTAATTAACATGAAATACTACCCCGCCCCTGAACATCAAACTTTAGACGTCAAGTGGAAAAGGCGCTTGCGTACAATGTATAATAAGCACATCCAACTGCTTATAAGCAGCGCAGTATCAGCAGAACCCTGTTTGAGGACAACCCTGAGGCCAATACAAATCGGTCACAACTTAAAACACTTGACAAAAACAGGTACCAAAAAAGCAATCCAAACGAACGGAGGGTGCGCAAAAACCTCGAGGGTACGAAAATACTAAAATGCAATCATGAATTTGTTTGTTTGCACCTTTGCAGGCTTTTGATTGGTTTAAGTCATGTTTCAGCTGGGTGTTTTGAGCAGGCAGATGGCTGTGCGTATATGCAGATGTTTCATGATAGAAGGTGACAGTGATAGTGTGATATGGTTTGTTCATTGGTTATTATTGTGTTATTGTTGAATCTGTGGTGTGGATACATATGTGGCCCCTCCCCCGTGGTAGTTGCGGGACACCTTGAACACATGGCACGCAACTCTGACAGCCCAAGAGACTGGTTGGAACATGAAACGATTTTTGGGAAGGAGATTGGAGGTCTTCGTGAAGCCTCCAACACTTCCATATTCCACTGGAAAATCTCTGATTCGTGGTGGTTTCTGATGTCGCAACAGGGGTTTCAAGTCAAGGATGTTGGCACGGCCTACCACCAATCTCAGACAGATTTTGTCGTGGTACTGGTACGCCTGCATACACCTTCCAGCCCCCAACACAATGAGCCACCAAACAAGAGACAGTCCGAAATGCGGCAACATTAAAAACAATCAGACGTTATATGTATATGTCATGTATGAATATATATATATATATTTATAAAACAAGATGTACACATCATGGATACATGGTTCACTCCTGGTACTGATCCCCTTTGGACAACTTAAGTATGACCTGGTGGTCTAACACATTGGTGACGCGCATCGTCGTGTTTGATGCAGGACAAGGCCTTCACTTGCAGCTTCTCGGACGCCTTCCGAAGGTCGCCCTCCTACAAGCTCTTTTGGCCGGAGGGCTGGTCGAATCCGGAAGTCTTCATCCAGCACACCCCTTCAGCTGGGACTGTCAGCTTTGACTTCATCCACAACATGTGCACCAAGCATCAGCCGATCCTCATGCAGTGCACCTGCAGCGACTGTAACACTCGAGCTGATGAAGTGAGATTTGGACACAAACTCATGGGACTCTCAGATGCAGCTGGGAAGGGGTGGGCAGATGCCAAGCTGAATGGGGAGGCTTACTTTCTTTACGAAGCAGCGGGTAACCATTGAACGGTTTGGTTTAAACAATGTGAACATACGTGAACCGAGGATTCAGAATCCCCCCAAACCCACCCCTATTAATTAGGCCAATCCTTATCCCACAACAACAGCCTTTCTTCCATGAAGAGATTTGGTCTTGGTTGTCTCTCCCCTTTCTTCCCCTTTCAGTGTCACCCAATCAAATCTCCATCCATGGTCCTATTGCCAATTCAAGACTTCTTCTCAAACCAGACTGAGAACTCCCAAAACACCCTTTGCAGCCATGCTGGCTCATGGTTGACTGCCTTTGGCAGATCGTTGGCACCCCGAATTCCTCCTTGAAGAGATATCTTGTCTCTGGGATCCCGCATTGACATGAAATCTGGGAGCACATGATTTGGTTCCAGAACCTTCCGACCTTCTGGGGCGGGTTGATCCGCATATCTTTTGGTCGACAGCACATGGGGCAAAGGAAAGACAACCCACAGCCAGTACACCAGCCATTCTGGCTCTCCTCGACATTCACTGCTGATGTGTTGAGACCATGGGCCCCATCGGCCTTGGTCTGAGGTGTTTGCAGACAAAGCCGGCTGCCGAGTCCGTGCGTGAAATGCGAGACATGTCGCTGCAGTTATCCAGAGGATTCCGTCCTCACGGGGACCACGCGCACGGTGATCAGCCTCATTCGGGCTGGAGTGCCTTGGACGGTGGAGGGTGGAGGTAGTTGGAGGTAGGTTGGGTTCACTTGGGACCAGCTGATGTCCTGTACATTTGGCACACACACTGCAAATTACTAGCAGACACGGGGCCACGGGGTGTCCAAACTTTTACTGTATGCATAGGTTCTTGTTTGGAGGGGAGGTGGTTTTGATTCAGATTTCAGATTGACGCAGGCAATGGAGGTGCCAGTGGTTGTGTAACATGTGGAACTTGCAAAGTCAGCGGATGTTGACGCGTTTCGCCAACATGTTCAACTTCAGTTTTCCTGACAACTTAACCCCCCGGAAGATGAGCATGTACAACTACCCTCCGGCTCACTAACATGGAGATGGAAGATTGATGAACATGGACCCTTCTGCACGGATAGGGGTAGTGTCCACTTCCATGTGATGTGTTATGATGTGTTCATTGGAGTGTGTTCCCGGCCGGGACACCCACACCTGCCCAGCTCCGGTAGGTTTCGACGTGTGGACATGTCTTATACACTTTCAAGCAGGCAGTGATATATCTCTTTCAGATCCACTACCCTCAGGGCATATTTCCATGAGCGTGTGTGGATACCATCCAAGAAACCTGGGACAGAATGTACAGAGGAACATGAACAAACTTGTGAGTACTGGGCCCTTAAAATAGCCGCACCCGTGTTCATGTGCTATTTGGGGCGCTGGCTATACACCTCGTGTGAAGGGCGGCGGAGGAAACGTGTCACATGTACATTCGTTGGAAATGTCTTGATATCAGCCCCTCGGCTGGTCAGGTGGTATTCGGATGCGACGAGCAGGGCTGCGGAAGTATTTTTCAGGACCTGCCGATGAGAATGTCTTTCAACTGCTCGACCGGCGTTTGTGAGAAATAATTTGAGACGGCCTCCGGAACCCACCAGAATTGCACGGAGAGTGGAGATATTCCGGAACCCTATTGAGATTCAATTCGATTCGCATTCCCAAATAAATCATCCCGGCAGACATCCCAGTCGGTTTGAGACCCATGTGAGCCGCTCGGTGCTCCAAAAAGACATGGTGGGATCGGAGAGCACTAATTCAGAGAATTGCCGAATTCAGTCTTCGGTCCTGAACGGGTAATCCAGAAACAGGCTGCGGGCTTTGTAGTCGGTGAAGTGCTGCTGCTTCGCTTAGTGTACTCAGTGAGCCCAGTGACCACCAGGAGTTGGTAACCACGAGGGGGCACATGGAACATCATGGAACCACCAATCACCCACCAATCCGAAGAATCCATGAGAAATAAAAAACCTGGTGCCTAGTGCCCGTGGTGGTTACCTTCGGTGGGTTCCTGGGATTTCCTGGGGTCAATTTCAATGCTGTTGGCAGACGCCACTCTGACGCCACGTGTGCAAGTCCTTCCCCTATGCTTGTTGAGGGTCCATTCGATGCAGAGATCGCAGCTTCGACACGGATCCGAGATCGCAGGTTCGACCTCACAGCTGTAAACAGCCGACACAACCGGTGCTTTGCTGTTTGGGTTTCTATGATTGTGAATCAATCAGGTTCGACCTGTGGCAGGCCAACAGGTAGCTGGTAGCGTCATACACTTGGCATATGCCCATTCAACCACCTAGCAGCAGCCCTCATCTCAACCCGCCCGCTCACAGATGAGAGCGGTATTTGGGAGCTGAATAAACGTGCTCCCGTAGGGCAAAGTGGAATAGTTCTCACAGAAGTGCCCTGAATCTCACCTGAAAACGGCCAAATCCATCCCAAACCCATGCCTTCGTAACCCGTTTCTCACTCCCTGTGGACCTCTCACCTTCGAGGAGGAAAAAGGGTCCTTTCACGTCAAAAGTGGAGTTTCACACATGGAGTGAGTCCACCCCACATGACTTGACAGTGAGCCACACTGGCGCAAGCATTTGCCGCTCAGACGGGCAACTGAGCGAGCACAATTCTTACCAAGAGAATGGGCACATGCTGAGCGAGCGAGCGCCTGACGATTTGAACCACTCAAGCAGGCGCATGATTGAATCGGCTTCTTAGCTGAAAAAGAGATGCACTTTTGGACCACCGGTTTGTCCTTGGTGACGTGAGCCAGGATCAGCTTCGCAGTGTTTGTATCGATCAACTGGAGACTACGGTGGCCCAAGTCGAATAGGCTCCCAGCCAGGCTCTTGGCCAAGGCTTTCCAGCGACTGAGTCTTGCAAAGATCAAAAGAACTCTATGGCTCTTTCGGACCTTGGACACCCGAAATGCAAGGATACCAAAGAAAGATTTGATGCATGGACCCACCAGTTCGCCAATTGCACCCATCCGGCGTATTTTGCGGCCCATGGCCAAAAAATATCAAGAAATCCCTGGTTGCTTGGAGAGAGAGAGGCTGAGAGTTGTGGAAGGCCTTTTCGTTTGCTTCTCGCCCCTGCGGAGATCTTCAGTGGGAAATGAGTGTGCAGTCCTCAATTCCTCCCCCAACAGATCAAAGCTATCATGAATATCCAGTGCCCGTTGTTTCGTTGCAAAACTTGGAGACCTGGCCCAAAGGTCCTAAGGTGGTGCTCACGAATTAGGGGGAAGGGGTTACGTCACCATTTCAGACAACTCGCTCTTGCTTGCGCTCTGATGAACGCGTGGGGGAAAAACAGTGACCGGCACCGGAGCCTTACGAAGCCTAGATCCTCCGGCCGGTCGGTTGTTCAAGTCCTTCGGAGCGGATCTCGCCCGGCCGAAAAGGAGCTGCGGTCATCGGACGTTGGTCGGTTTTCACGGCAGAAAACGAAGAAAACCAAAGTTGGAAGCCAAACGATGTTTATTCAGTGTGGCAGATGTGGTTTGGCTAGAGAAGGAGTCCATTTCTGGGCGACGAGAGTGATCTCGATGTACATGTTCTTGCCTTGTTTTCCTCGTGCGGTGGTGATCACGAGTTTTCCTCGTTCTGTTTGTGGCAGAAGATTGGCAGATACTTCAAGCTGGGACTTGTGGAGACTTGTGGTGGACTTCTTGCATTCAGCAAGATGAAGACCATCTTCTCAAAACTAGGTCTCCATTGCCATCCATTGTCACAACTCCTTCCCAACAATGTTGGAACCAAAATTGACTTTTGGCATGGTGCCCTTTCGGTGGAAGTTGTGAGGGGAATGAGCAAAAACCATTGATCGAAGGAGGTTTTTCACGCACCTGAGGTCTATGAGCCCTTGCGGCTGGGCGCAGGGTTGCCTTGCTTGACCTTCCGGAGTTGCACATCAGCGTTAGGAAGATCTCGCTGAGTCCTAGGGAATCCCGGCGCTACAAAGCGATGAAAGAGCAACATCAAGATATACTGGATTTTTTTTGCAGAAGGAACATTGATGAAGAACTAGGCAGAGGCAAGCAGCCAACCACCCAGATTTGCCAAAAGATTCGATCGACTCGTCCTTTTTGCGAATTTGAAGTTGAGGAAGAGCCTGTAAAACTCCACTGCGGGCGACATGAATGCCACGAGGTTTGAACAAGAGCTGAGGGTGACCGTCCCAGGGGGGCTTAATGATTTGGATGCCTGGAACTGACGAATGAAGCAATGGGAGATGACCCAGGAGAGAAGTCTTCTATGATTATATAATGTAATAATTAATAATCTCATATATTAATATACTGTGTATATTTTTTTTTACACATCATTTTTAGGAATTATTTTCCATGTTGATTTCCTCAACCGTACTGGTGAGATGTGGCAGGCAGGGGCCATCCCAGCCTCCACAAGAAGGGGCTGCAGCGCATGTGGGGGCAGCACATGCATTTGCGCGCGGTTCCGCGGGAGCGGGAAGTTTGAGCACTCACGAGGGACTAGGGAGTTCGGCCTGAGTGCTTATCCGGTGATTCAACATGGAGGGCAGGGAGTGTCCGGACTTGAGTGGAAGAACTGAAGCGGCTCGGACTGAACCTGCAGCGCTTGGGGGCACTATCTTGGGGTCAAGAAGTGGGGACCCAGATAGTGCCGGTGATCAGAAAACCTGGTTGCCACTGCACTGCGAAACGAAGGAAAAGGGCCGGGTATAGATTGCCATTTCACCTTTTTCGCACCGGACTATGGACCAATGGACTGTGGAAGGCCTATCTCACGACTAAAGTTACTTTATTATATGTTGGAGATGAACTGGTGGAGAGTTGAGTTGTATTTCTCCTCCTTTCAAGCAGCTGGGTGTCCAGCAAGTCTCCTTCCACCAGAGCGTTGCATAAGTCGGAGCATTTTTCCACAGACCCACCGTGCCCACCTCAGCCACAGCCGATCTGAGGATCCATTTGGTCTCCACAGCCGCTTCAGTGGAGCTCCAGCGGGTACGCCAGCCAGTTGGCGGTTCTGCCGGCGGGGGCCGCTGGTGCCGCGGGCGCGGGCACCATTAGAAAACGCATCCAAGTCGAGTCGCTTGATGCCCATCTTGGACAAATACGCCAGACTCATGTCGACCGTTTGTGGATGATTGCGCAGATGTGATTTTGTCCCAGAAACGCCAAGCAGAAACACATCGTATGACGTCGTGCCATTGTTTATGCATTTTTTCTTGAGTGATCAAGAATCGGGTGGGCTGAACTGGGACGCCTGAGCTTCAACTCTTTTGCCTTTCAGCTTGTGGCCGTGGCATTTACAGCTCAATAGCTGGCCCAGAGAAGAGCTCCCCCAGAACTCCCAGGCGCAGACGAGTGAGTTTGCTTCAAGAGGTGTTTGGTGCAGAACTGTTCACACCAAATTCCACTGAGCATTTGTTTGCATGATCAATCTTTTGCGTTCCTCTATAACTCAATATTTAATGCTTTGTAAAAATGCTTTCCTCAATGATTGGCAGGCGTGCAATTGGAGCAGTGGTTTGAAGACAATAGACTACACCGGTTTGGAAGGGTTTTGTGAAGTTGTGCGTTTCTTCCGTCATGGGTCTTTTATTTCAACACAGCTTCAGTTCTGTTTGGCAGGACGGGCCGATAGCAGGTCCATGGGGACAATCGCGGGTACTTGCAGAAGCCTGATGTTCAGCTTGCAAGCTTTGGTCTCTTGGACCTTGTTTGGCTCACTACCTGTATATGAGCGTCGTTCAAAAGCCCACCTCTACTTTTTTAGTAAACAAATTTTAAAGACTGATTTTGAGTGTGCTCCCACTGCAGTCGCGAAAGCTTCGTGAAGGTCCTGCGAAAGGTCTGCTGAAGCCAAGTTGGTGACCTGGGCACCCTGCAAAAACAATTTGGCTTCAGACTTCCGATTGCTTTTTCCCGGGCCTGGAAAAAACAATTTGGTCAGACTTCCAATTTGCTGTTCCCCGGGCCAGGAAAAATATTTGGTTCAGACTTCCAATTTGCTTGTTCCCGGGCCGGGAAAGAGCAAATTGGTTCAGACTTCCAATTTGCTTTGTCCCGGGCATGGAGAAGTCAAATTTGTTCAGACTTCCAGTCTGCTTTTTCCCGGGCCGGCAAAATCTTTAGTTCAGACTTCAAAATTGCTTTTTCCCGGGCGTGGAAAAAGCAGTATTGATCAGACTTTCAACTTTCTTTTTCCCGTGCTTGAGCCAAATTGCTTTGTCTCGGCCCGGGATACAGCAAATTGGAAGGCTGATCAAAACTGCTTTTTCCATGCCCGGGAAAAGCAAATTGGAAGTCCGACCAAATGTGCTTTTCCAGGACCGGGAAAAACAAATTGAACGCCTTAACCAAATTGCTTTTTCCAGGTCCAGGCCCGTGAAAATCAAATTGGAAGTCCCATGCGCGGGAAGAAAGCAAATTGGAAGTCTGAACCAAATTGCTTCTTCCATGCCTGTGAACAGGCAAATCGGAAGTCTGAACCAATCCGGGAAAAAACAAATTTTGAAGTCTGAACAAATTTGCTTTTATCCTGGCCCGGAAAAAACAAACTGGAAGTCTGAACAAATTTGCTTTTATCCTGGCCCGGGAAAGAGAACATTAAAAGTATTAACAAAATTGTTTTATCCAGGCCCGGGGAAAAGCAAATTGGAAGTCTGAACCAATTTGCCTTGTCCCGGCCCGGGAAGAGGCAAATTGCAAGTCTGAACCAATTCGTTTTTTTCCAGGCCCGGGAAAACGCAAATTCTAAGTGTGAGCAAATTTGTTTTTTCTATGCCCGGGAAAAACAAACTGGAAGGCCGGGAACAAGCAAATTGGAAGTCTGAACACAATTGTTTTTTCCCGGCCCCGGGAAAAAGCAAATTGGAAGTCCTTCAGCAAGATTGCTGAACCAATTCTTGAAAGTCTGAGCCAATTTGTTTTTTCCCGGCCCCAGCCCGGCAAAAAGCAAACTGGAAGTCTGAGCAAATTTGTTTTTTCCATGCCTGGAAAAGGCAAAATTGGAAGTCTCAACCCGCTTGCTTTTCCATGCCCGGGAAACGGCAAGTTGGAAGTCTGCACCAGTTTGCTTTTTCCAGGCCTGGGAAAAAACGCAAATTGGAAGTCTGAACAGATTTGCTTTTTCCATGCCCGGGAAAAAGCAAAGTATATAGAATCTTTGCTTAACCTTGAGGGTTGCTTCAAAAGGGGACTGCTTTAATCATTCAAACCACTTTATGCACTCCAGGAAATCCTAGAAGTTTCCTGTAAGCTGTTCTGTCATGGTAGAGTGGAAGAATCCTCAGCATTTCAGTGCTCAAAGTGATCTGATCTGTGGGCTTGGCCTTTGC